ATGAGTTGGAGTGTCTATCTGCTCAAATTAACATACATGAGGAGGTGATCATAAACTACCAATTCAAAGATCTGCAAAGAAATGCGGTTCACTCTACAAATATCAAAAAACATTTATTCTATTTTATATGAATCGTGAATTAACTGCCTAAACCAAGTGCACAACACAACTGAACGACTGCAGCAAATTGCATATAAATTTCCTACCGGAGCAAAGTAATACGGACAAGTGTGAACGAGTCCATAAGCCTTCATGTGTTTCTAATAGACACCCGTTTTTTTCACCGGTCCGATGACGGATCGAGTAGAAACCCATCCGCGGTACCGGACCGATTTTTTAACGGACGTTGATACGTATCCAGTAATTTCATCGGTCCGTCAGTTTACCGGTCCGTTAAAAAAACGGATCGTGTGAAAGGGCTCTTACAACCGTGGAATTAGACAACGAAGAGGCGTCTTGATCAAAGGTGAATTTACATGGCTGCCCATAATATGCGCTTCGGTTTATAAGTCAACTGTTCCCACCGCGCCATTTTTAGCGCATTTCCACAAAAATAAAAAAAAAATGCGCTATTGTGGCCACTTTGTCCGTCCGTCCGCTCGTTTTGCGACGCTACTAGTTCTTTATCTTAAGTGCTATTGTTCTACTTTTTTCGCTATTTGGTTCGTTATGGTGTCGAGTCTTGTACCAAGGAAGGAATTTTTTCTGTACCGCTTACAAAAAAAGTTATTGTAAAAAAAACAAAAACCCGTTTTTTACATGTTCCATAATTTTACACTTTTGCCGTTTATTAACGATCCTAGAGATCGTTTATAATTTTGCATTGCTATCTGTCGTCTGCATGCTGGTCTGTCCGTCTGTTCCTTTGTCTGTCCATCTATCTGTCCGTGTGAACGATAACTTTGTTTAGAAATGTTCGATCGCTTTTACATCTCCGTTAGTTATGAACTGAATTGCATGAAATTCGATATGGGCATAGCTTTAGCCATATAATACGCAATGCCAAAAGTTGAATCGAATCGATTCAAAATTCACAGTGCCCTTTTCGCATCTCGACCATTTATAAACCGAATTGCAAACTTTTTTTCTTATAAAAGTATTTGAATGAAATTTTATACATAGGCACTTGGAATAAAGGAAAATCAAACGCCAATTTCAAAATTTGGTTTTGCGCATGCGCAGTGCCAACTTTTTTATTTGCGGAAGAATTTACACGAAATTTGATACATAGGCACTTGGGATAAAGGAAAATCAAACGCCAATTTCAAAATTTAGTTTTGCGCATGCACTGTGCGCAGTGCCAACTTTTTTATTTATGGAAGAATTTAAACGAAATTTGATATATAGGCACTTGGGATAAAGGAAAATCAAACGCCAGTTTCAAAATTTGGTTTTGCGCATGCGCAATGCCAACTTTTTTATTTATGGAAGAATTTAAATGAAATGTGATACATAGGCACTTGGGATAAAGGAAAATCAAACGCCAGTTCCAAAATTTGGTTTTGCGCATGCGCAGTGCCAACTTTTTTATTTATGGAAGAATTTAAATGAAATGTGATACATAGGCACTTGGAATAAAGGATCATCGAGCGCCAGTCTCAAAATTTTTTTTTTGCGCATGCGCAGTGCCAACTTTTTTATCTACGGCACCATTTAAGTGAAATTTGATACTTAGGGCTTGGAACAAAGGGTAATCTAACATTAGTTTTAAAATTTAGGTTTGCGCATGCGCAGTTCCAACTTTCTTATTTAGAAAAGCATTGAAATGAAATTCTTCTCATAAACTGAAATTGAAGTAACAAGTAAGTGACAATTTTCGTTCTAGCTACGGCCCTGCTCGTGGTTCGCCGTGTAATGCGCCTTTAGAATGCCTGAATGCGCGACCTCAGTAAACCCAAAATCTCGAAAAACTGGTTTCGCGTTCAGACCGTTTTAAAAAAAGCGTCGAATAAGTAACCTGTTAGCACATATGACTAATTTTTTTGAATAGTGTAAGAGAAATCTGAACATTATCATTTTGTATGTACCTATGTACCTAAACGATACATATGCAAATGACATGTTCAGATCCGTCTACGTAATACTACCGAGATCTAACTGTAGGATGCGATTTGATAGAAACGTTTGTGAACTTGCATGAATGAATACGTATCTGTATATTTAAAATGTTGAAAATGCAAAAGGATATTCGATATATTCCAAGCATATATTTTGTATGTATGAGGCATTTCGAGAAGTACCTATTCGAATGTGCAATTCATGCCATTATCCCTACCTGTAAATCAAGCTCGAGTCTTGTATGTACCTAAATATTTACAATTCGTTTGCTAAACGACAAGCGCAATTTCCTAGTTCTCATGCAAAAAAAAATTGTGGCAGCTAACTGCTATGATAGAAGATGCGCACTTTCTTGGATCATAGAACACCCGGGTTGCCAACCTTAACTTTTCCCGATGGTTCAATTTATGAGTGGAATTCTGTACTTCATTAACATATTATATTTTAAAGTCACCCCACTATGAATTCGTCACTGAAAATGACTTCAAAAGGCCGCAGCAACTACATACACGACAGAAAAATTACCGTGAAGTAGAGATATAATAGACGTATAATCTTTGAAAAAATAAACAAAAAAAAACAGAGTTGCATGCATACTTAAAAAATTTACTGTGGCTAGCACAAGTGCCACACCTGCGAGTGCGCCTTTTATGCCCATGAAGATGTATCAAATTTGGTTCTAATCGATTCAGCCGTTTAGCTTGAAATAAGAGTTTGACACACTAGCGCATGCGCGATTTTGCCCAAAAGCTTTTCAGCTCTTCCTTGTATGTATGTTACATACAAGATATATGTACCAAATTTGATTCCGATCGGTTCAGCCATTTAGCCGGAAATGAGAGTACAGACGGACCGACAGACCAACATAATTGAGATTTTGTTTGATTCGGATTCCTGGTGCTTCAAAACGTGTATTTCCGTTAAAAAAGTAAAGGGTGATTTTTTATCGCATAGCAATACCTCCCTTACTAACGTACGGGTGGTAAAACAGTAAAGTGTTCATTCCTATACACCCAAAAAATCGATATTATTTGGACGCGGCCTGATTACATTTTGTAGTGCCCAGAAAAACTTCAAGCCATGATTACAGCGGCATGCAAGAGTTTGACAAGCCAAAAAGGCTAGGCTAAGAGGTTAATTTTGTGCTGCCGAGATTTTGTTTGCCTCAAAAAAAGGATCTGTCAGCCGAACCATATGGTAACACATACATAATTACTTACATAATAAATACGGGAGATACCCAACCTCTCAGCGACATGGTTTGTCATGGAATAACCATCCAGCAGCCCGCCCCTGGTCGTCATCTGTGGTGCTAGTGAAGAAGAACTATGGTACCACGGTTTTGCGTAGAATATAACCAACCGAACAACGTAACAGAAAAAAATAGTTTTCCGTTGAAAACAGCCTTTAGCATAGAGACGGGTTTATGGTAATATACGATCGTATTCTTTGGCTAGTGTAAAGACATTTCAAATGGGATGATGGATGCAAGCCGGCTTTTGAAGATCTTAAAGTTGGTTGGTGACGTGCTCGGTTCGACCGTTATGCGTCATTCCGGATGGTTTAAAAAACTTTTTTTTGTACAAAGAATGTCGATTTTAATTATACACAGCTCAGAAATGCGCAAACGAATCTTAAAAAATATAATTGATAAGAGACAAGAGAATATTAAACTAATTAAAAATTGAATGATGATTCCTGTACCATCGCTTCAGAAAATAAATTTAGGAAGATATTTCAAATACGTTTCAGTGAGGCAGCTGAAGCTCGCCAATCGCACAGATCAATCAAGCAGAATCACGATAAATACTGTAGAGACTAGCGTTAGGATGTCACAAGAGGACTTTTGCATTTGGAACCTTACTTGAATTTTATCAAAATTGAATGAAATAGGTTTGGGGTGCCACAATGTGAATAGTTAAGAGGTAGAACTGTAGAAGTAAAAGAGAAGGAGAGATGCCATATCGCAAACCTAAATTATATTTCAAAGCATTTAGGCAAAACAAGGAACAAAGTTCTGTACCTACATATAAAGTTCGCCAAAAAAGGTTCCACAGATAATTATATCATTATAATCGCGTAATCTTTAGGAGACCGAAGTTCTATTCTATTTATAAGGGAAGCCCACCCAGACACCACTTACAAGAAATGCTCATTGTGCCTATAGGGTATACCCCCTTTCTTTCGCAACTAAGTTCAGAGGCCGTTCCTATCAATAAAGGATAGGACCCTGTTTAGCTTTTCACCTTATTCCCCGGTTCCAGATAATTGTCGCCAAGGAACTGATGTCTATCTCTGATCAAAGCGCCATCCTGGCAGACCACATTTACGGGTATCGCCTTGCAGTTCAAATTCTGGTTTAGTCCGTTTAAAAGAAATCTACCTTCAAAGTACCGAGGTTATAAAGCATATTTGCTACAGGAGCAAAGCCGGTCTTTTTTATATCGTAACAAAAGACCGTCCATACAACATACTACCGTCCTCCGTGTTGCGAAACGCAACGACGCAACGGTTTTAAGAGGGGTGCAGCTGCAGTGTGGAGAATTTTCTAGGAAAATATCAAGGAGCCGTTAAATTTATAAGGATTACTTTTCACTCAACGTAAGGGTTTAGTCATCGGTAAATCGGCGATAAAAAATGGAAGCGGACGTGAGTTGTATCTTGTATCCCCCAATTGAAAACGCGCGAATATTTGAATTGAATACCTACCAAAAAACTTCTTTTTAATCCACAACTGTTAAGTAATGTAGTTAACTTTTTGTCGAAGGTTCCTAAACATTGAGTAGACTATTCGACTTTATCTTCAATCAAACACGAACAGTCTACTCAATGTTTAGGAACCTTCGACAAATTTTTCAAACGCTAATTCAACTTATGTAGTACGTAGTTAGTAGACCAACATCACACACGTGAAACATCTTCAAACGCGCAACGGTTTTTTAAAGTATTTCCACAAGGTACGACACTACAACGCAACGCCCCATACATAGGGAAAACTGACAACAGTGTTGCTGTTGAACTGATCTGTGGTTTATGTCGTGCGATTGACACTGTCCGAGCTGTCATTGAATTGTGTTTGATGTGAATTCAAGTTTTTAGGTATTGCTTTTATGATTCATTTCGTTTTTCATTCATCTAATGAGATCAATTTCAGAAATGATGGCCGAAACTGATACGACGGCGGAAGCAACCCGTAGATTAAATGTTAAGAAACAAACGTTAGATGATGCATACGCGGTACCCGCAAATTTTCTAGAAATTGATGTTGTAAATCCCGTAACGACGATAGGAATTGGAAAAAAACGATTTACGGATTATGAAGTGCGAATGCGTGTACGTAATTTACTTCTAATGCTTCATCCACCTTGTAGGTTATATTTGAATTTATGCAGATTAAAGCTACAAATACGCCCCTTGTAGAGACTAAGCCAATGCATTTTATCAAAATTGATTCCTACTCTATTAAGGTGGAAACTCAATTTCCACCGAATTTGAACAATGATTAGATAACGAATTTCCCAGAATTTCTTAAGTACAATGTCGATCTTAGATTTGTAACTTTTCAGACTAACTTACCCGTTTTCAAAGTAAAGGAATCGAGTGTACGTCGACGGTACAGTGATTTCGAATGGTTGAGGAATGAATTAGAACGAGACAGTAAAATTGTAGTTCCGCCATTACCAGGAAAAGCATGGAAACGACAGTTGCCGTTTCGGGGAGATGATGGAATATTTGAAGAAGAATTTATAGAGGATAGGAGAAAAGGCCTAGAGATATTTATTAATAAGTAAGTAATTGTGTATTTCCTAAAATTACTGCTTAAAAGAGTGTAAATTATTTTTACATGGGTGTACAGGTCTTAACATGTGATTTTGCTTGCAACTTTGCTAATTATTTGACTTGTGATGGTGGGCAAATCTGTCTGAAATGTTATGAATTCTTCCTTGTTCTTTTCGAGTTAAAACAGATCATGAAACATTTTAATCAACATTTTCTGTCTACAGACCCAACTCTGTCAGATAAACAAAAGTAATACAGCAATTAGCTATAAAAAAAAGTGTACTTGATGTTTAAAGAAAAGAATTCGTTTCGAGCTTCTTTCTTTCTTGGCCCCATTTACTCCAAAGATTTTCAGGCATATACCAAAATTTGGTTACTTCTCTGGTATTAAGTATGTTTAGGTTAATGTTCGCTCCTGAGGTTATCAGTTATTTTATTGGTAATGTTCTCAGGTTATCTATTTCATTGATGTTGTGATGAACGTAGTTTTACTTAGTAACTAATTTGACTTCTTTTGTCAAGGAATTTGTGTATAAGAAATTTGTTGTTTTTTTTAGAATTGCCGGGCACCCACTGGCCCAAAATGAACGTTGTCTACATATGTTTTTACAAGAGCAAGCCATTGACAAAAATTATGTTCCTGGGAAAATCCGTAATACGTAAAAATTACTATTGATCTGCTTATTATTATTATGTGTGTGATTGCAAATTAAATTCCATCCTCTAACAATAACCATTTTTGCACATTTTTTTAAGTTGTTCTAAATCTGTTGTATGTTAAATTTAATATTGTGCAAAGTCTTTTATGTTTCATTTAAACACAATTTATTATATGTTACTCTATAAGATATATTCTACATTAATTTAAACTCGATATTCACTGTTTATATGTGACACATTAGCTAGTACATACTTGTGTTATGTAATATTTTGCACGTTTATGAAAATTATACATACTATAATATAGTTCCCAAACTTTTTTTATACATATTCTATGATTCTATTCCAATATGTTTATTTTTCATATTGTTAAGACAACAAATTTAGCATTGATTGAGTTTAATGTATAAGTGTATAAATATGTAGCTAAAATTATAAATAAAAATGTTTGTCTTTAATTTGAAGATTTTCCACACATTTCGTAGCTCTTGCAGAATCTCTTTGAACTGAATAGGAATGTTTGCTTTTTCTAATATAATCCAAATAACATAACCACCATTTCATTTTTAAGATAACGGTCGTAGATATGAAAAGACTACAGGAGACCAAAAACTTTCTAAACCAGAAAATGAATTTCAAATTTTACAATTTATCACTGCCACACCAAGAAAATGTGAAGAGGTAGGAAACAGAACATGATCCCTAAAAAAACAACATCCTGTAGATTCTCGCTACCATCGACATGGCCAATGATGTAAACCCTTGATGATATCATTTCAAATTTGAGCAAAATATCTACAGAAACAAGCAGAAGATAGAAATAAAATTTAAAAATTGGTGAAATACTAACACCCTGTAGATAGGTAAGAAGCGTTTACAAACCTGTTTATATGAACTTTAGTCATAAAATAAGCCAAAGAATTAGCCCCTTTCATATGTACCATCATCGATAAAAGTAACGATAATCGAAAGCTTACTGAAACTTAGGCAACCAACCATACACTATCTAAAAAGCCAACAAAGTGTAAGTTTTCCGGCGGGGATCTGTGTGGAATGGGCTGTATCTTCGTCGCCCTCTTGATATAAACGGAGTAAGTATATGTATATTGCAGAAATTGGGAAAACTGATACCTACTTCTTAGTTACTGATTCAATCCATTGTTTATTAACCTTTACACTCCAATTTACATACCTTAATTTCACTTGGTCAATAATTTTTAATTATTTTGTTGCTTGAGTATGTAATGTACTTAACCCCCAGGCTCTACGCTAACTTCACAAAGAACACGGAAATAAAGTCAACCCGGCAACGTTTAAAAATGGCCACCCGAATGACTATTCCCTCCAAAACTAAACAAGATCCAGCTTAAATTTGAAAAGTGGCCCCCTTACGTTAGTTGGAAAGAACGCTATGACCTGAAGCACAGTAGGGAATGAACGTATTGGGAAATTATTGTATCGCCGTTCATTTATCGCACATAGATTCTAAACTGAAGAGCTTTGATTAGCGTAATCCCGCCCCGCTAGGATAGGTAACCCGCCCCTGATTTCGGGGTTTCGAGCCCACAGTTGAATGTCGAAGACAATCACGGAATTAGGTGTCGTACTTCAAATGGTTACAGTTTTTACCACTCCCGTGACTGACAAAAATTTAAACACCAATCAAATGGGACGTCCGGATTCTCGATGACACGTCTCTCTAAAGTTACGAGGCAACCTACTCTTTCTACTAACGCTAAGTTTGTTATGTTTAAGATTGTTATTACTGATATGTGGGGGTTGTAGTTCGACCTTTGAAGGAAGGCGAAGCCGTATTAGGCTAAACACTTCATATTGTGTGCTAAAAATCATTGTAGCACGGTGTGGCAAACTCCAAAATTATAACAGAAATTGTACAGAAAGGACTTGTAATAAATTTCAGTTCTTACTCATCTGAGAAATAAACCTAATTTCTCATCGGGAGGAATTGATTTCCGCATAACCGTATCTTTTTTTCATAGAAAATTTCCACTCTGCAGCGTTTCAAAAACGCATCGTGAGGAGCTCTTAGAATCTTACATAATATAAAATACAAATGAAAGTGGTGCACAAATCGAAAAATCAAAGCATGCGGTGCGTATGGGTCCGCCAGTGACGTCACTACACGGGGCGAAACAATTCAGTGATCGAGCAATCCTGGATTATATAGCGTTCTTGAGTATAGGGTAAGTCAACGTTTTCACTTTCTCAGTGTCGGCTTGATAGACCCATGGAAATGAAAGACTAAGGAAGGAGGGTTACGTACATACAACCATGCATACAACGTACGCTTGTTGAGATTCAATTAGGCTTCTCAATATGGCCGACGTTGACAATTAATTGACATTTACGGTAAAGTGAAACACAAATGGTTAGCTGTAGCTGTAAATCCTGTAATATAACAAACTCAAAAGCTACAGAAGAAACGAAAATTACATTTCATAGGTCGTAACCATGTTATATTTCTTAAAATGGTCTTAATTTCATTCATTTTGCAAGTTGTGCTACAGATCCATTGGGTAGCAACAGTGGGTAAAACCATGGTACAATAAGACGGTAAAACAACATGTTGAAATAAATCTACTTTTCAGATTTCCTTTAGACAGTGGATGGCGAGATAGATGGATTTCGTTTATAAGAAGTGATGAATCTGTCTGTAGTAAAATGTATATAATTTCAGTACTATCCTCCAAAAAATTAAATAGGTATATTAAATGCATGTGCGCCACTACGTCACATATGTTGTTGACTGGGAAAAATTATTGTGGTATATCTTCTCCACGTCTTCTTTTGGTAACCGATTTAATTTAACAAAATTATGATCAAATAGATCAAAAGAATCCTCATTCCTCCGGGATATAGCGTTCTCTACGTTCCTCTGTCCTTTCGATATTTTGTATTACATTCAATTCCAATAACTCATTATAATTGGCCATTGCGCGAATTATGGGTTTACGTCAAACGAAAACGTCTGGCACTTGGTTATACAGGGTGGGGCAGAGGAACTTGCTGATTTTTATTCGGCGCCTTTGGGCGACGGTTGCTCCGACGAAAGTGGGAATAGGTATATTTGAGAGAAGGGCATATAAAGTTTTTCCGCCGCCTAGTGTAGTCACCATCAGGGGGTGGACGAAGGCGGAACGCCCGTTCGCCGTCGAGGCATAGTTTTCTAACGGTCGCTCAGACATAGCCACCTCAACGTGCATTCCGTACTCATTTTAATATCGCGCCATGTGGACGTGTTCCTGGCCGGCAATCCATTGTTTCATGGATAAACAATTTTAAGGAAACTGGTGATGTGAAGAAAAAAAATTAAAATGAGTGCGGAATGCACGTTGCGTGGCTATGACTGAGCGACCGTTAGAAAAGTATGCCTCGACGGCGAACGGGCGTTCCGCCTTTGTCCACCCCCTGATGGTGACTACACTACGCGGCGGAAAAACTTTATATGCCCTTCTCTCAAATATACCTATTCCCACTTTCGTCGGAGCAACCGTCGCCCAAGGGCCACTGCCCCACCCTGTAGTTTTCGAAAGCGTTTCGCCTGGCGATCACTTTGCTAGGCGACTGTCATCGTTAGGTTACCGAACATCAAAACGGCTGCGATATCCACGTGGTGAACGTAAATTGACGTCATAAACGCTAAGCGTTCAAAAGTGCTTAGCGTTTTCATAGTTACAGAATACGGGCCCTGTACTCTTGAGTTCTTAACTTGACAAGCTAAACATAAACCCACAAATAACGAAAGTGATTTGAAAGACTAGTATATCCTAAACTGCTCTGCTCCTACATTATAAAAAAATAAATACAGAAAAATAAAAGGTTATCATTTATTGAATTCATTATAACAAGCAATTCAAAAAATTCGGCGTCATAGTTGGCAATGGAAAACTCTTGTGAACATGTAACTGACAATTTGCAACTTGAAATAAATTGACATGTCCGTCTGAAAAGTGTACATTCACAATAAACACCTTACCACCACCAACTATAACGCTGAATCTCTTGAATCACTCTTTACTATTTAATAGTAACATCACAGCATTAATGTCCATGTAAAATTTGAAACTACTATATCACAGTACTTTGAAAAAACAATTGAAAATACAATGTCCGTGGCTAACATTGTTTGTATTTTCAACTTTCATTGATCACCGCATAAGCGAATTCATTTATTCATTCATTACAGTAGAAATAGTGATTAAAGATTAATTTACAGTGAAATTGAAGGGCAAAACGAGGGAGTATATCATTACCTAGTTAATGAATAAATAAACGCGCTTATACGTGACGTAATTCTATTGTATTTCCACATATTCATAAGCATAACCATCGCATCCCTATGATATCTAAGACTATAAAATGTATGGTACAAGAAATATGCAGGGTGTTCCTAAATATAATGTAGTACATACACAGGGTTACCCGACATTCGCCGCAGCATACTAAAATGCCGTTAGCTGCGTGCAAATATGAATTACAATACGGCGTACACTTATATAGTAATGCAGGTTTCGACGCAGCATCGGCCGACACGTTAGAAATTCCATGGAAAAGGAAAGTGATCATGCAGGATGAGCACAAGGAAACATAACGAAAGAAAAAAATACAGCCTTAGGTTACATTAAAAAAGAAACAGCCTGCGGTAACACACAAAAAAAGAACAGAGCAGTCTAAGAAAATAAATTGCGTCGCATCTGCCCTTATAGTAAGTGTTCAAATAAGTACCCGCCAGTAGCAATTGTGTAATGCAATCGGTTTTCAAATTCTGCAGTCACAGACATGAGTTGGGTATGAGTGATACCCGTAGAACATTCACGGATGGCATCTTCCAAAGCAACAGTGTTCGGAAACGGTCCACGTGCATAAATGGAATCCAGGTGACCCCAGTAGAAGAAATCGAGAGGGTTCATGCATGGTGAGCGTCAAAATTGTGACAGGAATTATCCGATGAGTAATGACAAGTAGTGACGAATCCTAGTACCATCGCCAACTCGTGGACCAATGCTGCGTCGAAACCTGCATTACTATATAAGTGTACGCCGTATTGTAATTCATATTTGCACGCAGCTAACGGCGTTTTCGTATGCTGCGACGAATGTTGGGTAACCCTGTAGAAGGAGCTAATCCTTGGCTTATTTTATGACTAAAAGACCTAAAAGTTCATATCAACATAGGTCTGCAAACGCTTCATTACCAATCTACAAGGTGTTATACATCTCCTGCAGTTTATGACATATTTAGCTCAAATTTGAAATATAAGTTACATTGAAGAGTTTACATCATTGGTTATATCAAAGGTAGTGAGAAACTACAGGGTGATATTTTTTCAAGGGTCATGGTCCATTTTCTATCCCTGAATTTTCTTCGGTGCACCACTGATAGAAACAGAAATTAAGTTTGTTTTGTTTAAAAACTGTGTGATCTCTTTTATTTGATATTTTTAAAATGACCCAGTAGACCCATGCTTTATTTGAATAATCTTTGATTTTATTAGTTTAATACCTCGATTATGACAGTTTGCATTTGAAATTGTAGCTTGTATAAATGAAAAGGATTAAAATGTACGTACAATGCGCAGTACAAAGAATTAGCCGCTTCGTATGTACATCATATTTAGGAACACCCTGTATACCTATCCATAAATCTTTTGATTTGTTACACACAAATTTGATTTTATGTTGTAGTACACTGTAGTATCAATATCTTTAGCAATGTCTACATCCTAGCAGTTTACGCTCATATGGTTGGCATGTTTAATGTGAAAACTTTAGTATACAATTCTTGATCAGCTACATTATTTACAGCAAGTGCATGCTAAGAAGAATTATCTGATAATACATCATTATTAGTTATCTTTCTTATTTGATAAAATGTTTTGCCACGCAATAAGAAAAGCAGTAAGTATTATTGTTTCAATACCATCTGGTGATCAATCATGACAATCATGTAAACCCTCTACACCAGGCATCATCCTTTCACATTAAAATTCAAGATTTAAACTTTTTGATGCAATTTGAAGCATGTATGGAATTTGCTGAATATCTTGCTGAATTTTCCTAATGTAGTACATGACGGGACAATCCAATGAAACACAAGGTCTTTTATCGGAATGACCATCACATGAAAAACAAATCTAAAAGAATATGTTTCCTCTGTCTACATTTCCATTACTTACCAGACTAGCTTCATTATATGAACGGTCCCATAACCTGACTTTTGTCTGTAATGTTGCCATAGCTTCTTGGGGAGCATTTTGACAATCTACACAAATTCCTTCTTGAGCCTGTTGACTACATATTACACAGTCAGTGGATGTGAAGTAATGTGATATTGCAGTTTTTCTTGTTCTACTGTCAGGAGACGTATATCCGATTTGAACTTGTTTGCGAGGCATACTATTAAACCTGTTAAAAATAATTAAATCTCACAGTAGACGCCAGTTTTGAGTACAAACCATTTGTTAATGTCCACTCCAATCAAAGTAAAGCAACGATTTAAAGGGGGTATAATAACACGAGTAATATAGTAGAACATATTTGGTCGCAAGCTACCATCTGCTAGTAATTCTCTGGGACTCCTTACTAATTTAATTAATGGTACTCCCGGTGGACCACTAACAATTACATATGCTACGCGTTCACCACATCTTGGTTCACTTCTTCGATCAACTGCAAGCCATTTTCTGCAAGCGTAATGATAAGTTTTACCATAATAACATCAAAATTAACCTTGTTAATTCCAGAGCAGGAACACAAGCTCCCGGTCGGTAATTTGCAGCGCCCCTATATTCTTTTGCGAAAATTACATCTTGCAAACAAATTCTGCCAGTTAACATTTTAGTAAATTGCCGAATGACATATTTGCGCACTAATGATACATCGCGTGTATCAAATAATATCTTTAGTGATTTCTCCAACATCTGCAATATGACAAAAATTATAATCGTTGAATAAAACTAATTTCAAGTTTTTGAGGCAAAGTCTTAAGACCATATAGTACACGGACTGCTATTAGCGCTATGCTTTCAATACAAAATAGGTGGTCACGGATAGAGGGCACTGTAGTTGTGGGTATGTGAATCTCAGGGTAAACTAAAGTCGTGTAAACACCATTCAGATAAATCAGATCGCGTAAAGAGTTTTTTTATAGTAACCGCATAATACGGAAAACTTTAAATCCTCTTGATTATCTTCTAAACGTCCACAAATAGTAATAGATTTGCTTTTTCTTGGCATATCTAGGCGATTAATTAATTGACGTTTATATAAATTTATAGGTTGACAGTCTCAAATCGTGTCTAATCGAACAACTTCGGACAGACTCGTTTACTCTGAAACTCACATACCCAAGCGATGTCCTTGACCAAGGTTAATAGAGAAAGTAGGTTGCCTCGTAACTTTCAGCCAATAGAAGTTCAGTATGCAAATACGCGAATGACGTCACCCAGAATCCCATTTTGTCCACATCATAAAAATTAATATTTAACGCAACAACAAAGCAAGTTCAAAAGATGCGAAATGGATGGAAACGGTACTTTACATGAGTGTGCTGAAAAGTTCCTGCATTGCATAGAAAAAAACATGCTGGCGAAAACGCACTTTATTCAAAATAGGTTACATTTCATCTTCATAGTCTTCGGCGGGAAATGCAGACTGCAGAGTCTATTGCATACGGGGTTCAGGTTCCCCTTTCCATTGCACTTTATAAACCATTCTTTTTGTAATACAGGAATTACCTTTTGGAAAAGCAAAAAACTGAATCTGCGCTGCGATCCATTTGCTTTCGATTTGTTGGAGCTGCTATTGATATAACAACGCCACAAATATTTCCATCCGGCATCCTATATTGATACTTAAGTATCCAACAGTAAGTATTCAATCGAATTTATAATAAGTATTTGTAATAGAGTCTTCAGCACTGTCTGACAATTAAGTGCTTACACAGTTCAAATATAACTGTCAAAATCAACGAAAATTTAAACACCAATCAAATGGGACTTCCGTATTCTCGATGACGCGTCTCTCTAAAGTTATGAGGTAACCTACTCTCTCTACCAACCTTGGTCCTTGACCATATTTTAGTTACAATTAGCAATCCATGTACTTAATGGTCTAAGGGCAAAGTTGGCAGTGAACATTTATAAACAACTAGCTGACCCGACGGACGTTGTCCTCTTTCCTAGCTATGCATACCTAATCAATTTGAACTGGAATAAATAATAACAAAAAATTATTTCGAGAAATTCGCTGTGCCTAGAGCAGGTACCACCCGCCCCCCCCTGCGCAATCGCGATTCTGCCCTTTTATGTCTAAGAATATGTGTAGCAAATTTGGTTTAAATCGATTCAACCGTTTAGCCGGAAAAGAGATTTTGACACACTTGCCCCAAAATCTCCCCAAAATAATAAAAAATAAACGCACTCACTTCTACGTTGCTTTTGGCGATTCAGAGCTAGCAACGTACCTTTTTTTTGCTGTGCCAAATGCCGTAATTTGAAAACAATTGTTTTATTTCTGGATATGAGTAAAAAATGTATAGACTCTGACCCATTTCCGGAAACCAAGGAATGTAGTGGCTCTGGTGGCGGTACCAATGGCGTCAATTTCGCTTGGCCACTGGCCCAACATAATTCCGGGGCTTCAGTTTTAAACTTAAAAGCCTTGCAATGTGGACACACAAAGTTCATTGGTCTAATAGCAACGATTTACTGTAAACTGTAATCGATTGTTACGTTGTAATTAAATGCAGCTCGAGAAAGGGTACATTTCTGCGTTGTTCATATCATATCATATCGATTTCGTTAACTTCGTTTCCCGCTTCGCTTTGCTCGTCAGTTTGACTTACTCGTATATACCGGGTGGTGCACGGTAAGTAGGAACATAGGGATTTAACATGGGAAATTAGTTTTATGCAATATGCTGTCCTCCTGTACATTTTACAGAAAAAAGTGTAGAGTTTAAAGTTGTTCAGAATTAAAAGGTGCATACAAAACTGTTTTTACATGTTCTCTTAAGCTTTTGGTATACCCGCAAATTTAAAAATAAATTTCGACATTTCTGTTATTAGAATAGCAATTCATAAAACAACAAAAGTCATGGCTATTGCTCCTAATAACAGAAATGTTGACATTTATTTTTAAATTTGCGAGTACCTATACCAAAAGCTTAATATAAAACATGTAAAAACAGTGTTGTATACACCTTTTAATTTTGAACAACTTTAAACTCTACAGTTTTTTCTGTAAAATGTACAGGAGGGCAGATTATTGCATAAAACTAATTTCCCATGTTAAATCCCTATTCCTACTTACCGTACACCACCCGGTATGTTTGACTTGTAGGATTACGAATTCTGCGACCTAAGTTGGTACCTACCATGTTGGTACGTCTAATTAGTAGCATCGTGAAAAAACTAAAATTCAACTGAAAATAGAAATTAACTCCCTAGTGTTTCTGTATAACTATGTATACCACGTGTTTAGTCTATCAACACTTACCAAAAATGAATATTGGGTAGGTATATCAAACTTTTAATATAAAAGGCGTGAATGCGGTGAAATAGCATCGACATTTCTCAAAAAACTCACTGAAATCTGGATAAACTTTCCGATCGAATTGACAGCACACAAATTTTTTGACGAATATATGCCGATCGATGTAGCTGTTAAAACAATTGCTGCCGCACCGTCAAACGCGCGATGTTTAAATAGTCGTTAAGTTTTCTCCAATTTTCTGCGCGATTTTCGTCTTTCTTGTCGTAAGAACCTTCTACACAGTATTAGAAAACTTTAAAAAAAAAGATGAATGAAATCGGTAAAGTCGTTCTAAAGTTATTGCGTGACCAGAAAAAACAGGGGTTCATTTTTATATACAGGGTGGTGCCTAGCGCGACGCAGCATAGGGATTTCAATGGTAATTTCTTTATAGTCAATTACTAGCTCCCCAAATTATTTTAGAGCAAAAGTCTAAATAGGTTTTTTTTAGAGAAAAAAATACTGCATCTGTTCATACTATTAGTTATAATGTTCCATTTTTCAAAACCGTAGAAATCGACAAAATAAAAAATTACATTTTAATAAATCAGTGATGCTTTGGAACCTTTTAACAAACTACAAGCGCATCCCATCTAAGTTATCATTGTTTAACGTCGAATGATTTTCATATTTAATTCTGTTTCAACTAATCGAGGCAATAAAAGGCATCAGGGTAATGTTTTTTTTAGAGAATGTATGCTGCATCTGTATCAGATACTAGTTGTTTATCATTTTCCGGAATCAGAGTACCTACATAATCGAAGAAAAAAAACTGATTTGGGGAAGAATCGTTCCTGCAGCCAAAACGAATGCGAGGTTGAATGTATTGTCGTTTTCCTGATGGTTTTGACGGACATTTTGAACGTTATTGCACTTGCAGTTCTTTAACTAATTTATAAACAAGTATAAATTTAATATACGTCAAAGGCAAATAATGAAACTTGATCGCTGTTTTTTTAGGTAATTCCAAGGCATATTTGATTTACTGTAAAAAGAACATTTTTATTTTGTCGATTTCTACGGTTTTGAAAAACGGAAAATTATAAGTAATAGTATGAACAGATGCAGTATTTTTTTCTCTAAAAAAAATCTATTTAGACTTTTGCTCTAAAATAATTTGGGGAGCTAGTAATTGACTATAAAGAAATTACCATTGAAATCCCTATGCTGCGTCGCGCTAGGCACCACCCGGTATAGAGATTTCTACTTAAGTACACTGTTCGAGCTATGCAATTAAGGTGGCGTTTACATTGAAAAATTGGGACATTTTTTTCCACAATAACTGCCTTCTGGGTACAAATTTTTGGTTGAAATAGCATTCATTCAAATATGCATATGCATATGCATGAAACAAAAATTATTTAGCTAATTCCTGCACTTTCGCCGTTATTTAGGAAATAAGTTGTTAAAAAACTCCCATATAAAATATATATCTTTCATTTTTATCACCACACTGAAAATAATCTGTTATCAAATTTAACTTCATTCACAAGCTTAACCCTTAGCTACCATCGGTAGTTAACAGAAGTATATTTTTTTACCTCGAAACAAAGTTATTGAGGTAATCGCAAGGCAACTTTTGCGCTTTTTGGAAACACCACCTTAAAGGAATTCTATGAACATTTAATACAAAAAGCTAATACCGCACGGAATATGCTAAACATAATTTCGAAGTTCCTAATTTTACCCGTACAGTATGTAATTAGTAGTTATTTCATTATCGCAGACCTTTTGCGATTGACCTGAAATTCCATGTACCAATGGGCATTACTGGGCTACAGAATTAGAAAATTTCAACCCGGGCATTTGTGTGAGCATAAATATCTGAGGTGTTGCTGAAAACTCGCCTGATTAGATAGGGTCTGGTGTCAAATGAAGCGCGCTTAATGTTTGTGTGCACCCGAGTACGCCGGCCAGCTGGGAAATTAGAAATACGGATATGATTGTCAAACTGATTTTGGAAATGCAACATAACAGTAAAAAATGTTTGTGGAAAGACCCTAGGGAACTCCATACACCCCTCCAAACCATAAATCCCTTCACATCTGTCCATGTATAAATTAGCGACTTCCTAAATAGTATCCTGATGACTACGACACTGGCATAAACCTCCGTAGATCTTTATTCTACGAAATTTTGTACAACGTAATATAAATATTACAAAGTCCGATTGGCATATACAGGGTGTTACATATAGGTATGTAAAAAAATTTGGGTGGTAGAGGGGGTCAAAACAAGCAGTGTCTCCAAATAAACCGAGGGTCCAATGTGTTTCGTTTGGGAGCCACCCCCACAAAAGTGGTAAAATTTGCATGTCTTCTTAAATTTCTTTAATTCCCAGCAACCATCAGAGTTAGGAAGACAGGTGGCACCTCTTTGTATAGGTTTTTGGGTTTGCCCTTTGCAATTTTGCAAAAATGTTTCTAAAATTCCTACCACGAAAGGGCGCACCCCTAAATGGGAGTGCGAAAAGAAATTCTTATTGCAAGAAAATCAGACCATTCAAAATTAATATGTCATAATAAAAGTAGATCTAATAAGTAAAATTCATTCCTACCTTAGAAACTGCAGGGCATCCATCTCTGCGGACAGTTTCTATTCCCTTTGCACAAAATTCCGGTTCTGTCTGGTCGTTTGACTCATACATATACCCGACGTAACGTTTCTTAGTCTGTAAAATGCAAGGTTGGAATATCTTTTCCAGTTTTAGTCGTACAGGACTTGGATTGTCATTTGTGACTTCCTCAGCAATCTCTTCTCCAATTTTGAAAGCAGCATCTCTACTCTTACCGGCTATCAGTACAAAGATGGAGTCAGTATCACCGTAGACCACTTTGGCGCCCCACGTTGTATTACATTCTATTAATTTAATGGCTCTCATTAATGTTTCGCGACCTTTACTAACCACACTATCGGCCAGTTCAACTGCAGGCATGCGACCACTAAAATTCGCAGCTGTATATCCATATGTAACATTAGCGATCAATTTCAAACCCAGTTGGCGTGAATGGAGAACACGTTGCAATACTTTATCTTCCTTACTTAGCTTCATTGATTTCTTTACCATTAATCGTGTATCCAAGATTTCAGATAACATTCTAGGCAAGATACCTTCCCTAACTTTCGGTTTTACATAAGCAACCCCACATGGCGAAAATGTTATAAGATCTCTCTGAAGCAATTTTTTAAGAAGCCTAGGAGATACTTTCAAATGAGTAGCCCCAAATTCGAATGGTGTGTCTAGGCCTAAACTTTCTACTCTACCCAAGCAGGTGGAAAAACAGTAATTGTACGCAATTATCATAGAAGGGTAAAGACTCTGGAAATCAAATACAATCACTGGATCTACGTACATTTGTGAATCGGGTTCCAAAATTAAAGGAAGGTATTCAGGCGCCTTCATTTTTGCCCTCTGTTGAACACTAGGGGAAACCGCAACATAATTGAGGGGCTTTGCTAATCTCAGCATCATTGATTCTACTCGAAATTGCGATCCTCTCGATAACACTTCATAAAACTGTATTCCAAAAAGGCGAGCAAGTTCACTAGTTCTCCCAATTAAATCTAAACGGTCAAATAGCTCCACAATGCCTGTTACACGACGCAAATAATAATTAACAGTTTTGTGGCGATCAATATTATTGCTGTCTTCCCACCAACCAGACAAGTCTTTGAAAGTATACATCGGTATGCGCTTGTGCAACATGTGATATACAATGTTTTCAAAAGAATAACTTTGTAATGCAATTTCGTGTCTCATTAGCCTCCACACATCCAATACGATTCTACCATCTAATTTCAACTCATTTTCTGAATCATCATTGGCAGTGGATGAAAACTTTACTTCTACCCGAGAAAGTTGACGATGTAAATTAATGTGTAAAAACGTACCCCTTTCCAGAAGGTATCCCCATGACAACATCTGTAATTCATAACCTGCAACTACATCTGGATCCAATTTCCTCACTAAACAAACAAATTCTGCAATTAAGTTCAGTTCTGTGTCTACAAATGTTACGTAACTGTTAAAATTATTTTCCTGCACAGATCGTTTAAAGTTCTCGGAATTTCCATCAGGCAAAACAGCAATAACACCAATACTGTCAGCACAATTATCTGGATCATCATTCCGAACTGCATAAACAATCGCCCTTATTGAATCAAATTCTGGATCAGGTTTCAAATCCAATCGAGTTTTAATATGCAATTCCATTACCAAAATTGTTAAATACTGGTGATCAACAACTGCTCTTGCTTTTTGGAGATTTTCTAAAGACGCTTTAAAGCAATGCGTATTATTTGGAGTCGCGCCTGTTATATGAGATGAGTCGACATTATTTCCGGAACTGGTCAGATTATTTAATAACTGAGACTGTGCCAAAGTCTTTCTTAACGATAATTCAGAATCGTTTGTAGTAAATTCTTTCTTCAATTTTCGTCCCCGTTTTGACAAGGTTCTCGAACGTTTCTTTATATTTCTTGACCTTTGAGTGCAGTTTGACGATTTTGGAGTACAGTTTGATGACGTTGGAGTTTTGCTATCATCAACTAGAAATGAATTTGAAATGGGACTACAAGGCGTCATGCTCATTAAAGAGTCATCGCTATCAGCTGCATTGGGATTACATGGAATTAGAATTTTCTGTTTTGCTTTCTTAGTAGCTGCAACTTTTATACCCTCCACATTTTGTTGTTCAATCCACAATCTAACTTCTTGCGCTGTAGGTGGTAATTTAAATGTGGTTAATAGGCATTCGTTAGTATTGCAAAATGACAGTTTGATCGAAGATAGTTGCTTAGGCAAAATTTCAGAGTCAGGATGTAGTTTTTGAATTTTATCTTTCATTAACTGCTGCAAACTAAGAGTAGCTACTGTGTTTTCGAATTCCACCACATCACATAACGTACCAATTTTCAATTTCTTATGTCCTATCTGAAATTCGCTAATCGCATCTTCCGAATTACTACAAAACGGGCGTGTAAAAGTTTCCATAGGAATATCATAATCACTCATTGTCTTAGTAATTACATCTCTAGAAGGTGGATTAAATTTGGGAATCAAAACGTAATAATCTGACATTCCTAACTGACTCCCATTTGTATTAATTAGTGCCTGGGGTTTACTCAAATTTTGTGTGGAAGTAAGTTTGCCTGTATCTTCGTTATTTTCTAGATCAAAACCTGAAGTAAATTTTTCAGACAAATTACTGGAACGCCGTGAATATGGAGTGAACAGATCCGCGTTCTTGACCATGTTATGATTGGGACTATAATGTGCATCTTCTTTTTTTTGGTATACGGATGAATTCTTTAATGATTGACGTAAAAAAGAAGATGATAGGTTAGCATCATCAATAACCGGAGGATGAATTTTTCTATTCCCCTCCCAAATTTCTTGCTGTGATCTGTCAATTGAATTCTGTTTCTCTGACACTTCAATTTTGTCGGGATCCTGATGGTCACGTGTAACCATCAAATTATGGGAGGAACTAGGTGAACTCGGTGCACAACCTTCCATTTCCATAAAATGTAATTTACGTTTAACCTGCTCAGATAAATAACTGTTTTGCAGGTTGACATTATTTTCCATAGGGACAACAGCATCATCCTCATGCGATGAATGAAGATGATTAACCCTGAAACAATACATTAACATTATTAGCAACAATATCCGTTTACATTTAGGCAGTTATATTAACAAATTTATTAAATTATTGCCATTAATTGGGCCCTTATAATTGTAGTGACAGAAGAAAAATATTCTATGCGTAAACTAATATCCTCATTTAATGAAATCCCCTACACCAATCAAAACAACTGTTTTAAGGATAAGATTACGTTAAAGTTGGTCTACCTGCAAAACTAAACTGATGTTAAGGCAACTGTTTATTTCTGAGTTCCAAATTTTAGTTCTTGGTTGCACCTGGTATATGTATAACTTTCACCAGGAAAGATTGCCGGTCACAGCACACCTTGTGTCGATCTGCAATCTATGTTTTTCGTAAGATGCGAGCGACTCCCGGAACAGGATCGTGCCAATGTTGAACCGAAAAGCCTTTTTGTTCAACATTGACACGATACTATCCCGGAACTCGGTCACATCTTTAGAAAAACACAAATTGTATACCGGGATCAAGTGTTCTGTGACCGGCCATCTTTCCTGGCGAGAGGTTTAGGTATTTTACACTTGCTAGGCGCTGACTTGCAATTTTCGATTGCGCAACTGTTTGATCGCGATTGCCTGCAAACCCCGCGCACATGCGCAATTGAAGTCAGTTGTAATGGGCGCGCACTATGCGACGAAACGATTTGAGCTCAAACACAAAACAATTGCAGCAATTGTCAGTTGCAAATCAGCGCGCTCGCATTTAACTCTGTGAAGTCACAAATGCAAGCCAACAGTTGCGCAGTCAGCGCCTAGCCTAACATCTCAAAAGTAAAACAATGCAAAAAAACTGTTGATGAAAAATAAAATAATAGCCTTAAGTGAAGTTACAGTTTATCAATAACCGACATCCCATAAAATGACTCATTGTCTAATCCATAAAATAGGTGTTTCAACAAGAAACAAAAAATTGAAAAAAAAACTAGAGAAAAATTTTTCAAATGAAACCAAATTTGAACTATATGATCTAAGGCAGCGGTACCTTTTTGAGTAATGTACCACAAAATCTTTTTTATAATTTTAAGTACCACCTATACCATTTATCCATGGATGAAAAAATAACTGGATTGCTTGCAAAGTCAAAATTTATGAAGCCAACATCAACAACGCCATCACAAGGCAGTTGTGCGTTTTGTGAAACGAAATTTTACAAGATTTAATTGTAAGTGTTTTATTGTGGTTTTATGCAATTTTGTGTTAGTTGTGTTACTTTTATATAATTAATTAAAAATGGGCGGCTCAAGTTGTATTGTAAAAAATTTTGATGCAGTTTATAATTTTTCCAAATCCATCAAATGAAAATGTCGATAGTTTCTCCGTCCAAGAACAAGTTGAAGCAATATGGATCCCTCACCGTCATACTACCATAGACATATGAGGATACATTATTCTCGAGATTGGTTAGGCGCTGCAATAAATATGTACCTACATTTGTTAAATAAAAACTTATTCCCCGATTAATTGTTATCATTATACAAAAATTATATCTACTTCAAATTTATTTATTGTATAAATTAATTCGACAAGTACCTATAAAGTTATTGGATAAATATTTTGTGTGGATATACTTGTCCTTGAAAATTTCATATTTAGCGCCTCAGATTTAGTTCTTATTTTAGTCATACCCAGTGATGGCGCTGCAGATGTTGGCTTCAAGTTAGATATTATACGACGCCAGCAGTCCACGTTTAAATGGTCGAAGCACTTATGTATCTATGACGATAAAAATAACAAGGCTAAAGGGTATATAGTTTATACAAGATAGTAAATTGCGATAGTACTCCTGAGAGTAACTTGCGCTAGCGTTTACATAAGCAAGTTCTAAAAAGCAATTACTCTCAGCAAGTACTCTCAGACAATTTTAATGCGTTTTGTTTCTTGAGTCTCCCTGTAGATTTTTGATTTGATTTGCCACAACTCCGGAAATTCTTCAAAAGAAGACGTGTCTACCAGTGTTGCCAATGCTCCTGTATTATAGTTTTTTTTATGTATTTATTTATTTATTCGCTTTTTTTGTGTTTTATTTTATGTGGGCTGATTTTAGATCTATTTTGCGTTTTCAATCTGTTTTTGTGTACCACCGCAAATAATATGTACCAGCAATGGTACATGTACCACAGGTTGAGAACCACTGATCTAAGATAACGTACTACTGTTTTTGTATTTGTTTTTATAAACCGAAATGTACTTACAGCCACAATAGTGTGGTACATTAAATAAATAAGATTTCGCTTGTAATTGCTACACTTTACATGAAACAAAAATAAAAGTTTCCTGATCACTGACCATTATCAACAAACAATAACTGTAAATCGACTGATAAGTCATTATTGTATGAGTAACATTCCTCCTAAGGAAGAAAAAGTCCAAAATAGTGAGGAGAAACCCCGTATATGAGAATATTTCAATTTATTAAGTGTAAATCTGAAAGATTATTTACGGAATACGCACAGATTTGGTGTATTTGTCTTTTAATTTATGTCAGTGTTGTTTTTCCTTTTGAAAGTGTTTGTCATTGCATAATTCTTGTTTAAATGTTATCGCTTTTGTAAATTTTTATCTGCATTTGTGTATTTAATTGTTTTAATTAACGCACGTGTTCTTATCCAGGTGTTTCAAAAAATTGCACGTAATTTCGGTGTACGTGGGGACGCGTTCCTTCGAAGCTGGCGTTATCAACTCTAATTGTGATTGGCTGTGTTTTTGAAAATCCTTATTAAGAGATTATTTTATAGTCGAAGTTCCTTTAAAGTACTGGAATCAACGAAAAAACTGGCTGATGCTACTAGTAGTTAGTTTTCGCGACGGTAAAGAGCATGTACCTTTTTTTGACGCTAAATCTCAGTGTGTCCCATTCTTTTTGATGAAGACGCAGTTCGTCGGTTTCGAAATAAAGTGTGCAGAACAAGTTAAGCAATCTTAATAAAAAATTAAGCTATCGTCCACTGAAGTAGTAAAAATTTGTGGAAATTTTTTAAAACGGTTTGTCCGTATGAGAAAAAGTTATTTCGAGTTAGCTTAGTAAAACATTTTTAAAACGTTTGTTTTTCATTAAAAGTTTCTACCGTCCGAGCAGCTACCGAAAATTGTTTTCATCTTATTTATCAAGATCCAGTTTAATAATAACAGAAAAGCGAAGTATCCTGAAGCTCTCAGCCAGTGTTTTTGTCATTTAGGACCAGATCATTTGGATTATTAGAGAAAAAAAACTGCAAGTAATTTAACATTTTTTTTTATTTTTAATTATCGACCGCTTGCGTGCGGGGTATTATGTCCAAACAAGCTTTGTAAGCTTCTCTTTCTTTCAGGGATTTTGTTCTAATTGTTTCATTTGTTTCGGAATAAATGTTTGTCATTGTCATTCAATTATTTGTGTTTATTCGAATCCTTTGTGCGACCCGGGTAGTTTTCATGTCAAATTTTTTTTATAGATTTATTTCAGGCGTTGATCAAAATTTGTGTAATAGATCCTTATCGAAAGTTGATCGAGGTCACCGAGTTGAGAAATTTAAAGTCGGTATTAGGATTTGTCTTATAGCAGATGAGGAATGTATACAAGGAGAGTGACTGCACGCCATTGCACACAACAATTTGGACTTTAATTACCTCCAGACATTGAGCTTTATCTAAGCGGTAACCTGGTGGAACAGAAATGTCTCTTTCATAAAGAACTAAAGTTTTTAGTTTTTCCCACAATTCCGGCGCCTTTTTCTACATTATGCAAGTATATATAGGCCCAACCTACATCAGCCACATAGTGTGAAAGATTTTTAGTATGAAGCGGAACCGCTTTAAATCAGCAGAAATAAACCCAGACCTTGCAAACCCGATCAAGTTACATATTGCTTCTGAACCACTTTAATTTAGGTGAGAAATTAAAATCTTGAATGGGCAACAGTTTCATGACTTCGAATCAGGTGTATATTCCTTTTCAACCTTGATGTCCCTAAACAAATTAAATTAGTAGGGAATCTCGAGTCAAAATTCGAACATGGTATAATATGAACTCAAAGGTATACATTTTAAAAATACATATCTTGTGCAGAATTGGATGGCGATTCTGAATCAAGAGGGCGCGATGATCGAAAGGATTGTAAATAGCCAGAAAGAAATAATTTGTACAAAATTTCTCACTTCCCAAAAATTAGAAATTTTACGATTACATCGCATTTCTGATGTTATTTATGAATATTTTCCAAGAATTTGTGTACCATTCGAAAGTTCATTATATTTGCCCTATCAGTGTGTGTTCGCTCCAAACCATGATTTTAATTTTTCCCCGAATTTCAGCCAATGTTTTAAACATTTTCTGCTTAATTAAGGATCTACAAGCCATGTGGAGCAATGTAATGTAGCGAACATTCCAGAAATCTCGAGAGACATCGAGGCGTCATGAAAGCGGATGTGGCGTTACCTTTTCCAGAAATATGACGTGGTTATGGAAGAACGTTCTAGAATAATCGGAAGCCTTCAGTTCCAATTACGACGCCGAAGTATTAAATATTTTGCGGTGTTATAAATTGTGTATATATATGTGAGTAATAAATAATATTTTATCTGTTATAAATAAATTCGTTTTAAGACTTATAAATTTATTGTTAATTATTTGTAAAGAACGTAATTAAATTTATGTTACAGTAAAGTAACTTTTTCTCCATTTGTAAACAACTTTTTGAGACACACTGTATATTACTAATACAGTAATATGATGCAAACCTCTAAAGGCAAGCCTTTAGTTCGGCAAGCGGCAACAACGTTGGATGCCCTATTAGTAAAGTCAAGAGTTTTCCATGTGAACTCGAGGTCATATTACTGTGACCCTATTATAGTTACCAGATTACCAGCTAAAGCACTAACGTAATTAATTACGCAGTTAACATAATATAGGAATCCGGAAAACGTACCTCTCATCATTGATGATGCAGTGATCACCTGAAAATAAAAATATTGTTGCATATAATGAAAGAAAGTGATGAAGCAATTATTATACCAATAATATACATATATTGAATTCTAATCAAGACCATCATGTCCCTCCTATGTGTATTCAATTCAACGTTATAAATTATAATAATATTTAGGCCTAAAACATCTTTCATTTTTACCACCTGCACATTAGTAAGGGAGGTATTGCATTGGTGTAAAAAATGACCCCCACTTTTTTTCCGGAAATACACATTTTGAAGCACCAGGAATCCGAATCAAACAAAACATCTATAATGTCTGTCTGTCTGTAGTTACATTGTTTTACATAGAAGGAATACAATTAGATTACTTTACTTTATCCAAATTACCTCTTTACTTTAAATTGGTTTGTTTACTAAATTATGACCTGCGTCACATAATCTTAAAGAGAAACAAAAATATTAATGTTACTAAATCCGCTGATTGCGCACCAAAATCGCATCTTACATTTTACAAAGAACTACACCACATGATTTTAGAGCTCAATCCTCTATACATTTAAGTACCATCAATTAAGTTAACATACAGGAAGACACACACATCCCATCCCACACGGGAGGTCAGTATATATAGGGACACAAAAGTAAGGTCATTCATTCGGCCCATACTCGACCTCACACTACTCACTCAATTAGACCACACGATCAACTTAATAAACCATTAAGAAGCTACAATAGTATCTAGAATAGTATATCATATACCAAGGGACTAACGCGTGTGTCAAGAAAGTTTGTGTGTAAATTTTTATAAGCTTATCATTTCCACTTTTCCATATAAGTCTAATTGTTCCTTTAAAAAAAAGAGCCTGTAGACGTTTAGTTGAAACTCTTGGCCTGGACTCCTTCTATGAGAATTACTACTAAATATAAGTCACACACCTAGAGCTTACCTTGGTCCAATGTATCTCCATGAACAGACTCAGCGTTCCACATACCAGGCTGACAGGCACCATCCTCTTCATTTTTAAATGGAGTAGTCACTAATGGCATGACCATATCATTCTCATGGTCTTCATCTTCACTTTCAGGAGATGGTTTAATTGTTTGAGATAATATGCTATCTTCTTCCACACCGTCATCTTTTGCCAAATCGTGTAGTATATTTAATAAATTGTGCGACTGAGTGTCATTAAAGCTATCTAATACTGTACTATCAAAAAAGCTATACTCGTCAGAGCTGTGACTAGGTATCGGCAAAGAGTTTGAGGAATGCAAACCTGAACTACCTGAGTGATGATCTACAAATGATGCGCTAATAATCTTATGCGATTTGGGTGCTTCAATAGGGTAAACAGACAAATCTTGATTAACTTTAGAGTTCACCTCGTTGGAATATAACCGGTGGTTTAAAGCAGTTTTATAAAAATTATGGGAATCGGTAGGAGGAATGTCCATTCTATTTTGTGAAAGGCAAGGAGATAGTTGTGAGCTGTCATTTTGATTTCGTTTCCTTTGCTTCTCATCTTCCCACAATGCTTCGATACCGGGATTCTTACATGTTTTACTTTCTATTATTTCAAGTCTATTGATTATATTTTCTGCCAATCCATCTACTTCCGTATGTGAGGTGCTGCACTTCGCAACATTAGTTGGCAACAACAAATCTTTTGGAATATTAACTTGTGGAAGGTCAGGATTATTACGATATCGCACTTCTGATAGAGATATAAAATTCATTCCATGTAAATTATAATCAATCATGAATTGAAGAATAAAAGGTATGTGAGCCTCATGCAACTGGTATACTTTTTCAAAAACGTTACCGTTTTGCAATAAATTACACGCCTTCCTCATTATTAAAGGGTTATAAAAATATATCTTCAAAAAAAGATGATCTCGAGGATGGTACCCATAAAACGGCCTAAAACAAAATTAATATTCAAGACACTATATCCATAAACTTTTGGAAGGTAAACCCAAAAGCGATTTCAATACCTTTAATCTTCAAAGAGCTAGTGAACCATCCAAGTAACATGTTTAACACAACTATGAAAATGTATGGATTTGTAATTTAATACTATTTCCATCAGAAAATGAGGACCTGGTAGATGTCGCATGGTTGCATCATCCCCTACAGCTTTGAAAATGCCAAAATAGGAGTGCCCAATTTACATATTATCATTGTATTTATAAATACAATGATATTATGTTAAATTGTAAAGTGTGATAGAATACAGAATTATTGTGAGGGGATTAGTAACAAGCTTATGTGTGTATAATAAGAGAATGTGTGACAAACAAAAAGTGTGTCGCTTTTGCGTTTATATTATCTGGTCTGTAGGTATGGCTACTACACAAAGGAAACCTGATTTCACTGTTTTACTGATATTAGAGCAAAATTGCTTCTGGCCCAATAAAAACTAAATTCCATAAATAAAATTCAAAATATGTATTAGGACAGGTTCAGTTGGTAACTGTAACATAAGTACTGAATTCAGTACTGAAATTGGATGCAATGTACTTAGTTTTTTTAATATCTAAAGTTAGCTCTATATACCATCGATAATACAAGAAAAACAGTACTTCTTGTTCTAGCAGCTAGCTTATATTCCAAAAATCAAAAAGTTTGTTACACCTAAAAAGGCTTTAATTTGATACCAACCCCTTACAATCTATTATGAACAGTTATATTTTACTGAGCCTTAAAGTCTTGTGTAGGTACATACTTCTTTTGACGACAGTATTCAGCTTCATCGATGTGAGAACATGTTACTCAAATCGTCCCATAGCTTCCCTACTATTAACTGGCAATGTAAAACCAAGATCCCCCTATTAATATGAGAGTTGCCTATTGTATTACATTAAAATGAATATACAAAGAGTCTCGCAAAGAGTTATAGTCTACTTGTAATTCACTTAAATAACATCCTACTCACCTGCCAGAAACTAATATAATTTTATAAACATGTTGATTGGATGAAGATGAATGCCCTGAGGAAATATTGATTGCTTGATCAATTTTATTAGCTATTTGATACATAACAGAATCCGCATCTTCCGAACCATCAAATGGTACGTAGAGATATGGAAAGACACCATGTATATGCAAACAAGTTTTAATTCCTAAAAAATATGTTACATGGTTTTTTGTGTAATCCAGGTATATCTCAAACGCAAACCTGTTTCTGTAGAACCAAAAATTCTAATAACAGGTACATTGTTGATAGTAGTCCCTCGAAAATCTGAATGCAGAGGATCACATCCTTCAATTGGTGCACTCATATAAAAATCTACACTAAATATTCTTACTAAAAACATTTCTTCAAAATAATAAATAAAAATGATATTAGGTATATTCTAAAATATTTATCACAGGTTCACAGCATTCATCATAAATAGAATTAAGCTTTAAGCAGCGCCAAGTAAACATAACCGCATAAAAATTAAATGCAAAATTTCAAAGTACCAACTGGCAACTCGCAAATTCCCCTACGATGAAATATCATTAAATACAAAGTGCTTCGAATTTACGAAACAATTCTCTTTCAATTATCGTAATCTGTAATAAAGTTCCGAGAGTACCTTGATACCTATCATTACATGTTCCACATCCACATGCATGAACCCGATTCAAATTTATTTTTAAAAAAACTGAAAATTGCTGATACACAATATTAAGTAACTCCATAATTATAAAACTAAGACAAGTTTTTTGCACTCCTTCGCTCTAAATCCCTTTTTCCCAATAAAACACTTTACAATTGATTATCTACTTTCGCGCTCTAGTGCCTAAAAATTCAACGAAATTACCTATTTAGTGCGGATCATAAACTAATAAGTAGTGTGATGGAAGAGTATAAAAGAAAATATAAATACACTTTACATCATTCCCTGTCGTACAAGGGCAAAAATAAGCTTTTTTAAATTTTGAACAATAAATTGGCATTTTAAATTTCTTGATTTCTACTTTATGGGCATAGAGGACTTAAAAAAATTATAATGTCGCAAAAATCTCGCGAAAAGGATTGAATTTATATAAATTCGATTTAACTAATCCGTGCAAAAAATAGAATACATGTTACGTGCGTGAACAGTATTTGCTTGATTCGCGCGACATGCGTCGCTCGTGCGCGTTGCGCACTCGCGCTGCCAAACTTCGCGCTCATCTGCAAAATAACTGTTCCCGCACTATAATGTAAATAACTATTTCATTTCGAGAGATGGCGGTTATACTGACGTAATTGGAATCCGTGCAAGATTTCGCAGTCTTCGGATTCTACTCCACTGCAATGGTTTTAGCTGGTTTTAGGTAGGTGTACTTACTTAAAAAATGCATTTTTTTAGTAAAAAAATTTCTCCATCTGTCAGCCCGTCCGGTTTCACTTCTGCGGTTTTGATCTGCTTTTCTAGAAATTGTCCTACAATCTTGAATTTTTTGCAATAGGTAACCTACTATGCGATCAAAAATGAGTTGCTGTCGAGTCACCTTTGGAATTTTTGTTTACATAGGAAATCGTATTTAAAGTGAACTTCCAAAGGCGACTCGACAGCAACTCATTTTCGATCGCCCGTTATAGCTATAGGTGGGTTTATACAATCATTATCATTAGTTCACTATCAAAAATCATTAGGAAATAGCCAACAGAAACAATGCGCGCGTTAGAACGCACCCAGTGGTGGAGCGCTGAGCGCCCCCCTGCCGTCCGCGCTCTTCCGCCCGGTTCGTTGGGTTTATGTTTATATTATTGATGGTTTGTTGATGGATCGCCAAGGCCGCTAAAGCCCGTTTGTAACGATCCCTTATTTAGTCAATTTTTAAATAATTTTTTAGGACCAAAAAAATTGAACATTTCATACATCAACTTTGATCAATTTTTTGGTATTTTAGGAACTGAAAGTTGTCCTATTTTAGTAATGTTTAGAACCTGTCCTATTTTCCCTCAATTTTTTAGTAACTTTTGACAGATTATAGGGAATTTGTAAAATTAAAATTAAATTTATATTCATTTTTAAAGCTCACTATAATACGTTGACAGTAGATAGAGACCTTAGTTTACAGAAGATAAATATTTAGTCTCCAGATTTAATATAACATAGGTTATGTACAAATGTTTACATTTTACAGGTACAAAAATTGACAATATTATGGAATGTTACATATAGTTTCATCATTTATGAAATTTTTAGGATGGCATTATCTTTATTGAAGAAAAAAAAGACTAAAAATTTGACTAAATAAGTGATCGTTACAAACGGGCTTAACACGTATTTGTTGTCATTTCGTCGTGTAACGTGTAACATATACATTCTACGGTACCTAGCAAAAACTAAAACCTTATTAAATAATGAGCCCTGTAAAAAACATTATTTTGCCCATAATAAATAACGCAAAACACTTAACGTTTTTCGGCATATAACCTCTCATATGTTTATGGACGTATGCATATAGGTACTTACAATCAGTCCTGTGATGTGTCAGAAACATCAAACTTAACGTGCAAAAAAACGTTATTTTGCGTTATTTAATATAGGAAGAATGACGTTTTTGACAGATAACCTGAACAATAAGTTTGACGTTTCTGATACATCACAGGACTGCGATATCTGATTTTTTGTATCAAAGCAGAGCAATTTTTAAAACGAGCGCTTCAGTACCTGAGGAAACGCTATAACTTTTTTAATTTTTTTTTTAATTTTTCTTTCTCCCGACAATTATCTCAAAATCCCGACAAATTAAAAGTTTGTCCAGATAGTCTGATAGTCCGATCTGGCAACCCTATATAGGTCACGTATCGAGTTCGTACTGTCGCTAGATTCTGACTCCTAGATGTGAACAATTCACTCTTCTCCTGCGTGTTTTTGGTCAAGAGTTTTAGAACCAAATGTACACAAATTTGCAGTTGTAAAAGCTTTTAAACGCAATATCTTGATGCCGAAAGAGTACCTACATCACATGCACATTTGGTAATCACGTGCCACATGTATTTTGATCAAAACATGTCAAAATCATTATTTCATGCACCAAAATCGTTACGAAAAAGACGAAAAGCATTATCTCAATGCCCAAGACATGAATTTGATGGATTTTTGTTGACCATATAGTAGAGACGCAAAATCGAAAAACATGAAATTTCATTCACCCCCTCTCCTAAAAAGTAATCACCGGTTTAAATCAATTCCATGATAATGAGTGAGCACTAGGTACTAGGGCGGTCACCACTCAAGTTGCGTGGGGTGTGACGTTACGACGTCATAAAGTTGACGGCATTGCCATTTTATTAAAATTCAATTCTTAAGAAAACCAACCGACGGATTTTGATGAAAAAATGAATTAAAGCAAAGAGCATTATATAAAGGTACTTCGACAATTTGCTATTAAAAAGATTGAATTGAACTTTACAACACTTTATAATTTTTGTGTTATAAGTAAAAAAAACCGCCAAATTTTTGTACCGAATGCGTACTTTTTGCATAGATATTTTGGATCCTGAACAATTTCCATTTCAGAAGTAAATAAAAATTAATTGACTAAAATTATTCTTGATTAAATTGTTGTCATTCTGATATATATGACCCACATTTGAACTAATTTGGACTCATATTAGAACCTGGCATTTAAATCTAATCGAATGTCGTGCAAGCTATACCGTAATCACTGTCATAAACTAAACCCTATTTGGCTATTTCCACATTTTACATACTGATTTTCTACTTTTACGATTACGAATATATTGGTAAGTGCAACGAAGGACGAAGATCAAATGCCCAGAACAAAGTACCGCTGTATTTTCCTGTTTAACCCTGAGCAAGTTGGCTGTTTATGCGGCGTTCAATTCTAATACAAAACATAAGTCTACCCAACACAGTATGCACTACCACCTACTAAATACGATGAGACCAGTGTTGTGCACAGGCCACAGATAACCGCCTGTGTAAATATCTGACGCGCAACAGGGTAAAGGAGGTATGAAATGGCGATCTTCGTCGCGTGCTAGGCTATTTCCCACCTGTGTTATATTCTCTCTTCTTTTTTACTTGTAATGTGAATAATTATACTTATAAATATTTTCGCAAGATGTCGTTACTTTTGATATGCAACAAGAATTTTGGAACAACCTATACATATTACATTTCTACCAACCAAAATCGACATTTTTTTTATAACAGTTTGATTTAAATGTTTAACGGTCATTCTCATTTTCTTCAACCTATTTCATTTGTCAAATCAAATCTGTTAATTATTCCAAGTTGTGATTCATAATGTCCCAGTTTAGATTTGCCAACGAAATGAACAGTTTATTAACTCTTGACGGTCCCCTGACGAAGGGCCCTGTTCCTAGATGGCAGAAAAAAGGTGCCGAAAATTCATCCATCGTTAACTGCTCCTTAAACTCATCCAAACAAAAATCGATTTCATCTTTAAATGCAAGCACTAAAACGCCTAGCAAATGTGGCGATGGGGACGTGTTACGGATAAAAAAAACTCCTGCGAAAACCCCTAAGGCGGGCCGATCAGGTAGTCCAACGCCAAATAAAGCCTCTAAAACACCTGGTGGAGGTGATCGTTTTATTCCCTCACGGAGTGCAACAAATTTTGAACTAGGTAATTTTAAATTATTTCAAACTTCAGAGACGGAAAGTTTAAGCCCTACTAATGAAATTCAACGTGCAATGTATGAAAATTTACACGGAGGTGATATAAATAATCAGCGAATACTCTCATATCAAAACAAAGCCCCAGCCGCACCAGAAGGGTTTCAAAATCCTATGCGTGTTATTTACACACAAACAAGAACACCTGCCTCGTCCAAAAGCAATAATCGTTACATTCCACAAGCGCCAGATCGTATTTTAGATGCTCCAGATATAATAGACGATTATTATTTAAATCTTGTTGATTGGAATGCAAGTAATATGCTTGCTGTAGCCTTAGGACCGTCAATATATTTATGGAATGCTGGTACGGGAAAGATTCATCAACTCTTAGAAATGACGGGTAATGACTATGTTTGTTCTGTCGCTTGGATTCAAGAAGGTGACCATTTGGCTGTGGGAACATGTACGGGTACGGTAGAATTATGGGATTGTTCCCAAATTAAAAGACTGAGAATCATGGATGGTCACTCAGCACGAGTCGGCTCGTTAGCATGGAATTCCTACATCCTCAGCAGTGGATGTCGAAGTGGGCAGATTATACATCATGATGTCCGTCAAAGGGACCATAATGTATTGACCGTTGGTAATCACACACAAGAAATATGTGGATTAAAGTGGTCAACGGATGGAAAATATTTGGCAAGTGGAGGAAATGATAATGTTTTGAATATTTGGTCAACTGCGGGTGGCAATCGTTATTCACAACCACAACCATTGTACACTTTAACAGCCCATCAAGCAGCTGTGAAAGCATTGGCCTGGTGCCCTTGGCAGCCTCACATATTGGCTAGCGGTGGTGGAACTGCAGATAGACACATTCGGTTCTGGAACTGTCAGACGGGAGTCTGTGTGAATTCAATAGATACAAAATCACAGGTAGATATTATAAATTAAACAACATTTTGTGACAAAATTTTTGTCATGAATAATAATTGTTCGTAGGTATGCTCACTTCTGTGGTCAAGTAACTATAAAGAAATTGCATCTGGACATGGATTCGCAAATAACCAAGTTATCATATGGAAATATCCCTCGATGGTAAAAGCAGCCGAATTAACAGGACATACTGCACGAGTATTGCACTTGGCCATTTCTCCCGATGGAAGTACAATACTGTCAGCAGGTGCAGATGAAACTTTAAGACTATGGAAATGTTTTGTAAAAAATCCAGTCAAAAGCAAGGAAGGAGTGCAAGCGAAAGTAAAAACTAGTTTACTGAAACAAAGTATTCGATAGACAATTGACGTAATATTAGTATGACTTGCTTATTAAGTTTTACTTAAATATGAAGTGTGTTTCCTGACGTTGTCATGTACTTTAATTACCTACTGTATTTATTATTAATTAAAAGAATTTGCCAATTTAACCTCTACATGTTCTTTTAATTATGGACACTGTTGGCAAAACTATAGCGTTTTTCACTGATGGATTAGCAGTGCACATTGGTACCGCCCTAATTCTGACCGCACACTTTCTTGGAGCAGTAAAAAAAATTGCACTACTTTGGGGCAGTGGAAAACGAGATACAACCAAAAACTCTTTTGAAACTAATTGTTGTGTCGCCATTTAAGTAATACCTACCCACTTTCACAAATTCAAGGAATCTTTTACCTGATTATTACTATATTGCGAAATTATTCCTAAGTAGGTAGGTAATTCCTAATTTTTGGAATACTATTGTGTTCTGTAATAATTAAACCTAATGCGTCTATTAATTCTTCATCATCAGTATCTGAAGAAGCCGTCAGTATTTCTGATACAACAGTACAAATAACTTCATCCAATGAAAAAAAATGTTATTTTGAAAGAGAAAGTTTTCAGGTTATGTATAGCGCTCTGAAGCCATATATATACTTCTCTTATAATATATGTCTGAAGCCAATGAATAAAGAATCTGAAGCTTTAACACACTTCTATACCAAATGCGAAGTTTCATGGATGGAGCAACCGGACAAGTGGAAAACGCTGCTCTAATATAATGCGAACTGATTTACGTCATTAAAATAAGGTAGTTCCTTATTATAGTAAGGCAGTATTTAATTAAGGTTTGACGTTATAGTATGTGTGCAATAACTCCCTTAAGGCCGTATTAGACGATGCAATTTTTATTGCAATCCTTGCAGCAACTATTGCTGCTATTATTGCAGCAATTATTGCAAAAAGATGCAATGATTACACTATGCAATTTATTTGGCAATTTTTTTATACCCAATTCTAATCATATGTATTGGTGCCAATGAAAGTGGAATTGGCATCACTGGGAAATACTTGAAAGCAACTTCACGTCTGTTGTAGACCAGGAAACGTGTGTTTTGTGACGATTCCTTTGTTGAAGGCCGTGTGCACGCACTTATTCACACTCAGGTTCGTTAAATTCATTGAGCCTGGTCCAAAAACGTCGTCGTCTTCTTTGTTTCTTTTTTTTAAAGAACAACAGCAGACGCAATAACTAAAGATGCGGCAGCAATATCCATTTTTGAATTCCTCGTAAATAGGTTATTTCAGTTTTAACTTTAAATAACAAACCTGTATATAGCATAAGGGGGTAATGTTCTCCAGTGCAATGTTAAGGCCGTATTAGACGATGCAATTTTTATTGCAATCCTTGCAGCTACGCACTTATTCACACTGCAGGTTCGTTAAATTTCATTGAGCGTCTGGTCCAAAAACGTCGTCGTCTTCTTTGTTTCCCTTTGTGAAATCGTTATTGGCAAGCCACTGCCTGGTCCAAAAACGTCGTCGTCTTCTTTGTTTTTTTTTTTTTTAAAAGAGCAACAGCAGACGCAATAACTAAAGATGCGGCAGCAATATCCATTTTTGAATTCCTCGTAAATAGGTTATTTCAGTTTTAACTTTAAATAACAAACCTGTATATAGCATAAGGGGGTAATGTTCTCCAGTGCATACCACTTTATTTTTTTTATAAATTAAATGTTAAGGCCGTATTAGACGATGCAATTTTTATTGCAATCCTTGCAGCAACTATTGCTGCTATTATTGCAGCATTTATGGCAAAAAGATGCAATGATTACACTATGCAATTTATTTGGCAATTTTTTTATACCCAATTCTAATCATGTATTGGTGCCAATGAAAGTGGAATTGGCATCACTGGGAAATGCTTGAAAGCAACTTCACGTCTGTTGTAGACCAGGAAACGTGTGTTTTGTGACGTGTCCTTTGTTGAAGGCCGTGCAATTTATTATTTATATTTGAACGCACTTATTCACACTCAGGCTCGTTAAATTCATTGAGTAGGTTTAGGTTTCCCTTTGTGAAATCGTTATTGGCAAGCCACTGCCTGGTCCAAAAACGTCGTCGTCTTCTTTGTTTCTTTTTTTTTAAAAGAGCAACAGCAGACGCAATAACTAAAGATGCGGCAGCAATATCCATTTTTGAATTCCTCGTAAATAGGTTATTTCAGTTTTAACTTTAAATAACAAACCTGTATATAGCATAAGGAGGTAATGTTCTCCAGTGCATACCACTTTATTTTTTTTATAAATTAAATGTTACTAAAATAGTTACTAAATTGCAAGAAAAATAAAATAGCACAAGTTCTATAACCAGAAAATTGCAGAATGTCTTGCTGCAATATTTGGCGCAAGAAATTGCACGTGCAATTTTAACATACACGGAGCAATTTTTCGTGCAATTTCTTGCGGCAATGAATTGCTGCAAAAATTGCAATAAAAATTGCATCGTCTAATACGGCCTTTACGTGAGTGGAAAACGCTAAAACGTAAAAAAGTCGATCTCCGTTGGACAGAGGGCAGCAAGTGCCTAGTCTAGTCCAGTGGCGGCTCGTAAGCTGCGTAGAAGGTAGTGCCAAATTGTGTCCCCCACCCCATTATTTTAATAGTTACAAATTTTTATTTTCATATTATTCCAGTTATTTAGATTTTGAGTATAATTCTAATATTTATAATGCAAGTGACGGAAACAAATCTAGCCCCTTTAATTTCTTTGGAGACTTGTTTCATAAGTATACCTCAAGTATGCATTCCAGTAATTCATTTTGTGTTGTTTTAGATGAGAATTAGCGGATTTTTTTTGACAAAAAATCGTATGGAAAGTGTTACTTTTTTCACGATTTGTAGGTACTATCCGTTTCCATGGCGTTTAGTCCGATCTATAAACAATAGCAACATTTTATTTGCAGTTTTATTAATGAGGCCGAAGTATCATTTTCAACAATAGTACAAATAACTATTCAAATCTTTATCTAAACAAGTACTGAAATTTATTAATTCTCTGAATACCTACTCCTTTTATTTTCGGATTTATCGCTTGTCGTGTCCTCTTAAAGAAGATTCAGACACATTTCGTTTTATAACAATATTTAAGTCCGGTAACGTAACGGCCTGTTAAAGTCTATCTTCCAGAGAATGCATGGAAAAAGGTTTATTTAGATGATTTTTTAATTTGTGTATTTACGTAACAATTAATCCGGGAAGTATAATCTTACACAGAAGTAAAAAAAATTATTTCACTTATCACGACTGAAACAAGGAAAACGGCGCAAAGCATAGTAATACATGTACACATTATTCAATTGTGCTTATGAGCCAAACTTCTGATGGCTCAAGTTGTACGTATAAAACGCTACTTCGGTTTCGCTCCTCCCACCCCTCTACTCCCCGCGGAAGTCCACACTTGTAGGAAAATACGAGCCAGTTTCAGTTTGGCACGGCTCGACCGTATTTGACGTCCACGGATAAGCACAAATGAATTCTTCTTGGTACCTAATTTATCAAATCATTTATTTTTTTGTTTTAAGTTTTAAAACACAATTATGTACTCTAGTGAGCACAATTAATAATAGTTAATTATATTTTAAGAATTGATAATTAGCAGGTTCCTTGAGGTAGTGCCATGGCTCCTTGGCTCTTTATAAAGAGCCGCCCCTGGTCTAGTCTAAAGTGGTCTTCCACGTGCATTCATTTCATCGAACTTGGAATTAACGCCATGTCTTCGACCTTGGAACAGAATGTTGAATTGAAACACCACTTCCACGTTCGCACATGGCATAAACATGGTTCGTACAAATTTGGCGAACAGGTACGATTGTGCACGCGAAAACAACGATATGCGTTTTCGGTTCCTCATATACTACAATGCGTATATCTATCTCACTTATGTCTTAACTTAACTGGTGAGGAGCGACAACCACATCCACGCACTCGCCCAACATCGCTCCGCGCCAAGAATTTAGGATTGGCAAAACTCTTCGCTCCGCACCAATAACGATGCAAACTTTGCGCGATGACCACTTCCACGTTCGAACTTGATCTGTTTGTAGAAGTGTTAAGTGTACACTCCAAGTTCCATGAAATGAATGTACGTGTAAGGCCTGCTTAAGGTATTCCGTAAATGTGGCAACATTGTATAAGATTTTTAATGGAATATTTGACAAATAGCATTTGACAATGACAACTTGTGTTTTTTAAGAATTTCACGTAGATGGCAAATAAATGTGCAAATTTTATTTATTCGTAAATTACAGTATTGGTACTTGGTATGGTAGTGTCCTTTATTGAAATACGAAACCCTAACCACTTCGGGATAATTAATTAACAGTTACACAAAATGCCAAAACATAAAAAAGAAGAGAGTTCCAGTTCTTCAGATAGTTCTGATGAAAGTTCAAGTTCGAAATCAAGTAGTAATAGCGAGACGACGGAAAGAACAAAGAAACGTGTAACCGCTAAGAAACACAAACATGAACGGTCTCGCGAATCTTCCGTAGAGGAAGACTCGCAAAAGCGAGAGAAAGTTGATGACAGTAAAATATCTAAACGAACAAGGTGAGTGTATTGTCTCCTAAATATAGGTAGATGCAGTATGTATTGTGATAAAGAGACTGTTTTCCATGTGTCAATTAAACTTCTAATAGAAAATCACTCGAAATAGTTATTTATATGTCAGGAAAATGATACATTACTGGCAAGGAAATATTGAAGTACGAGGCCCCTTTGAGTACCTACTTTAATTTCCGAGTTAGGTAATGTCATTTCACTGATGAGTTTTGTATTAAATTTTACCCGAAATCGTATCTTAATATAAAATTTCAATTTTTATGTGAATAATGTCAATCTGTCAGTGATGACAGGAAACTTAGTCTGCTTTGCCTCTGTCAGGAAAATTTTAGGCATGAAAATGAAGGTTTCAGGACGATTTTGGGTAATAGTTATTTACCCTTAGACCATATAGATAGATAGATAGATAGAACTTTATTGCTCTTGAAGTACAAAGTATACTTATATAGTTGACGCCAAATTAAGTTGGATATGACTCATCGCTATGTATTGCAATAATTAGCGTATGGAACGGTGCCTCTCACACAGATTGACGGTTGCTAGAGATGGATAGAAATTCGTAACTTGAGTCTGCTGTACAATTCATATGGGCGGTCTAAAACGTATGTCGCGCATTCCTCAACTTTTCTTCTGTCATTTCGTGTTTACCTTGTTAACATTTATTTTTACGTTTTTACTTCAATACATCAAGAAACAGTTTTTTTAAAAACTACTTTGCACTTGTGGAGAGTTTAATCGGTAAATTGTAACAACTTGCATATGAAATTGTGAAATTAAAAATGTTTGGTTTATAGGTTAAAATGCTGCGAAATAAACATCTTAAGTCTCGGTCGATTTAGATACGACTGACGTTGCTTGAATCTTAATCCGTACAATTTTAAGAATGAGTCATACCCAACTTAATTTGGCGTCAACTATAGCAACTGAGTTAAGTTTTTGCTTATTATACCTAACAAAAAAAAAAACAAAAAAATAATTAGCTTCATTATAAATGCCACAAAATAAATGTAACCTAGCAATTAATTATTAATAATTATTATGATTATACAATTTGAAAAAAGAAAATATCGTGTTTTCTATTAAAGTATACACAAATAATTATGAAATCAATATTTTTGTTTTTAACATAAACAGGTATCCACCAAGGCGACGTATCCAATGTGACGAAGTGTAAACTTTTTTGTAAAAATAACGCGAGGCCACCACTAGCACGGCCCTAGTCGCCTTAGAATATACTGAAATGTAATTTTCACAGAAAAAACTGGGCAGGTCTGCAGCATCATTAGTAAGCCATATAGTACATGGACTGCTAATTGTAACTAAAATATGGTCAAGGACATCGCCTGGGTATGTGAGTTTCAGGGTAAACGAGTCTGTCCGAAGTTGTCCGATGAGACACGATTTGAGACTGTCAACCTATAAATTAACAAACGTCAATTAATTAATCGTTTAGATATGCCTAAAATAGCTAACCTATGAATGAAGAGTATTTAAAGCTTCCTGTACTACGTGGTTACTATAAAAGCTATTCTTTACGCGATCCAAGTGGTGTTCATACGACTTTAGTTTACCCTGAGATTCACATACCCACGACTACAGTGCCCTCTATCCGTGACCACCCATTTTGTATTGAAAGCGTAGGGCTAATAGCACTCCATGTACTATATGGTCTAACTCGTATTTACCCGAAACCGTCAAGAAAATCTAAATTTCTGGGCTATTTTGACATTAGAAAGTTGATCTTTACCTGACTAGTACTGTAATATTTTTGCCTGACTCCCATTACAGTCCTAATACATGCAAAATAACAATTAGATCGTTCATTCAATAAATTATTCAATCAACGATTGGATAATTATAATGCAGACTATGTGGATATTTTTAAATAACACAAAGGATAATGATTCTTTAATTACTAACAATTAATGGAATATGTGTGGAAGTAATTATTCCTTTAGTAGTCATTAAAAGGTTTGTACGCCTTTTCGTACCTCTTTCTTGACTTTGTGGGGAGCGAATATTGCACTACGGCGGCCGCAGCTTCGGCTACATTATAACAACGTCTCGCGTAGCTACTCTTCTTCACTGATACCTGCTTTTGTACCCAGTTATAAAGACTGTATAGTTGAAAAGTACAAAGTATGAACTGCAAACTGCATTAAAATTGAATATGATTGTTTTAATTATTTTGAAATCTCTATGGAAACAATTAAATAAAGTGATTATAGCATGCGTGATTAGGTATCAAAATTTCACACATATGAATAATTTAATTTGGAAAAGTTATCTACATGTTGCGGTTTCAGGTAAAATTTTATACATAATATGTCATGGAAGTGAGTCCATCTGACTTGGAGGCATTAAAGAGATACTTGGACGCTGCGCGTCCTCGTACCTTTTCAATAAGCCTCCGCGTCATTTAAACGACCACTTTCATGACTTATTATATAAATAAATATATTCAGTTTTACTTTTGATACCCAGCTGACCAGTTTATGAATAATAATTTAAATTGTCTGGAATATAACAACCGAATGCAATGTTTATTTGGCAATCTTACTTGATTCATCTGCTTTTATTCTACCTGTAGAGAAGTGCAAATGCAAAAAAACCATTTATGGTCAGTTTCAGTCAATAACATTGCTAAAATGGGGAAAGAGGAATTATAAAAAAAATGATTAATTTGGGCTCGACATCTCCACAATTGGACTGTTGAAGACTGGAAAAAAGTCTTTTGGAGCGAATATAAAACACCATTAATTTAGTATATAGCAATAAACAAGTTGTAAATCGGTATATTATGCATGATTAAAGCGCATTTTTGGTAATACAGAGTATATTATATCAGCGAAGTTTAGACTTATCTATCTCACGAGTAATTTTCGCTGCGTTTTATTTAATTTCAATTGAGGGTACGTCTTTCTTTTGTAAAACAAAACACAAAGTAAATAACTAAGTTTTTATACTGGTAGCGCTATCTAACGGTAAAATTATAGCACCTCCAAAAACCATATCGAAATTATTTTCTTAAATTATCGATCTCACAAGTAATCTAACTCAAAATAGACTAGAGCCTGCACATCTACGCTATAACAGAAATAGTGAAAATTTGAAGTCTCTATCTATTGTAGTTGATGAGATTTAACGCGGACAGCCGGCCGGCCAGCCATAACGAATATAATAGCGTATTTTTTTCAAAAATGCGCTAAAAATTAAATTAGTGGCTGAATACTTTTGAGCGGTAGTGTGGTTATTTTCTAGAAAATTGTAATTCTGCTGTTGGGAAAAACAGCTTACAGCTGGTCTCCGCCAGGATAATAAAGTATTATTATCATTAAAATGTTGCAAATGTACATAAAGGGATGTAAGACTGTCAAAAACGTTTTTTTTTATATCTTGGGTTTTTAGCGCCGTGACGTCATACAATTTTTACATTTTTGTTTTTCAAGTAACAACGTAAAATTTTCATTAAATTATTCGTACAATTTTCTTTTTCTGAGTACAACCAAAACTGTTATTTTGATTTCGGTAAAATTTTGACAGCATACATTAGGCATAAAGGATGTAAGACCGTCAAAAACGTTTTTTTTTAATATCTCAGTTTTTTGCTCCATGACGTCATACAACTTTTTTTTCAAATAGTAACCCACATTTTTTATAGTTATTTTAAAGAGCATGGACAAGAAGTTGCCTACTTACTCGAGTGGAAGTGAGTAAAAAGATTGCTTGAAGGAGAGGACTCATTGAATCGGTTGAAAAGCGACCACCGCTACTCCGTGCAACGTCATACATTTTTTATTCTTGTGCCTTTAATTATAAAGATATTTTCAAACTATACCCCTCGTTGGCTTCGTTCAGTTACCAGCTATAATTTTTATTTAAACTTTTTTTTTAAAATTCTGATTCGTCTAAGAGCAATGGCCTTATAAACGATAAGTGATAAGTGATATTTTGCAAAACACTGTTTAAGCGAATGGCTAATAGTTCAGGCTATATAATATTTTTTTACAAAAAAAAATTAGTTACCGGGCGAAACCGGGGTTTTCAGGCAGTTGAAATGAATAGAAATTGGGAAAAAATAATTAAAACAGCTGAATTTTTCCGCGGGTAAACTCCCGGGGTTGAAAGGGGTGGAAAGTTCTGTTTTGCAATTTGTGGCAAAACTATTAATTTTAGAAGAAAATATGAAATGTAAAAGTTATAGAGATTACAAAAATGAGCAACTTTTGTATCTGCACTATTTTCACATAACCTCCAATTTTCATAGAAAAACCGGAAAAACTGTTTTTTTCGTTTGTTATTCCTATTTTTGCGAAAAAATGTCGTAGGAGTTTGAAATTTGGAGGAAACATAGCGTGTTTTATGATAAAAAAAGAAGATAATTTTTGTACCCATAAAGTTGAACCTTTTCCTCGACCTTTTCCAAGATCTCACGATTTCTGAAAAAAAACCACCTCTTTTTCAAGGGGATGAAAAATCTATTTTTTTTTCATCGTACAGAGGTGCGCGGGGTAGCAAAATTTTCGGGAAGGCTTATATTTTAATAAACAAAAATAAAAAAATATTCCTATGGCAAAAATTCGAGAAAATCGCCAAAAACTGGAAAAACAGTTTTACGGTATACCCGGTTTTTGACATGATAAATCAACATGTTGGATGTTAATAAAGATTTTTTCGAAATCTGTCTTCTTGCTTCTCTTTAATGTTTGCTTAAATATTCTCTTTTGTTAACTAATGTTCAACTGTTTTAGTTAAAACATCTTTATTATTTCTTTTTCTGCATGTTTACCGCAATAAAAGCAATTCGAAACAAAATCGGATTATCTTGCTTCCTAATTCCTGACCAATTTCTTTTTGTTTCACTGACTCTTCTTCCTGCCTGTTTTATGCTGATGCAATTGCGTTGAGCCTGTTGATAAACTCGCAAAATCTGCAATAAGAACGTTAGTTTTACCACCTAAAGCAAATGATTTGAGATGTAAAACCTGGAATAAACTTTATGAGGATTTTATTCATAATTCCTGTAAATTAACGATCAACAGGCCCAGCTTAATCCCATCAGCTGTAAAACAGGCAGGAAGAAGAGGTAGTGAACAAAAACAAATTGTTCAGGAAGCAAAAGAATTCGATTTTACTTCAAATTGCTTTTATTGCGGTAAAAATGCAGAAAAAAGAAATAATAAAGTTGTTTAATTAAGGCATTTGGGCACTAGGAAACAAAAGAAAATATTTTAGCAACATTAAAGATGAGAGAGAAGACAGATTTCAAAAACTTTTTATTAGCGCGGATCCAATACGTTAATTTATTTGCAAAAAAAGCTATTTATCTACTGTCAAAAACGGTATATCTTAAAACTTCCCTCCGTTTTTACCCCTTTTCTTAAAATTTTTCTATTGGAATAATATTTTTTATTTATGATTAATATGTGTCGTTACGAAAATTTTGCTACCCCGCGCACCTCTGTACAATGAAAAAAAATAGCTTTTTCATCCACTTGAAAAAGAGGTGGTTTTTTCAGAAATCGTGAGATCTTGGAAACGGTTCAACTTTACAGTCCCAAAAATATCTTCTTTTTATCATAAAACAAGATATGTTTCCTCCAAAGTTCAAACCCCTACGACATTTTTTCGCAAAAATAAGAATAAAAAATTAAAAAAACAGTTTTTCCCGTTTTTCTAGGAAAATTGGAGGTTATGTGAAAATAGTGCAGATACAAAAGTTGCTCATTTTTGTAATCTCTATAACTTTTACATTTAACATTTTCGTCTAAAATTAATAGTTTTGCTACAATTTGCAGAACACCACTTTCCACCCCTTTCAACCCCCGAGATTTCACCCGCGGAAAAATTCAGCTGTTTTAATTATTTTTTCCCAATTTCTATTCATTTCACTAATTTTTTTTGAAAATACATTATTTTAGAGCTATTTAGCCTGGACTATAACGATTATGTGTGCGTTCTTGCCGTATTTGCAATGTAAAATGCGCGGAGAAAAACCCTTATATTTTCATTACCATTAGGGCTAACAGCAAACAAAACCCACCGTTGTAAAGATAATTAAAAATAGGAACTTTTTGAAAAATTCCATTTTTTTCGTTTATGGGCCGTTTGGACATCGGTATCAGCAGACGAATTTAGGGGGTTAATTAATAGGCCAAACTCTACAGAAAAACATCATTATATGCTTTTTACCTTTAAAAGTTTGACGGGGTGGATTTCTAAATCACTTTTGCGCGCGCGGAAACTACTAAATAAAAAAAATTTGGTAGTTCCATTTAAAAAAATCAAGTTATCTTGATTGAAATCTTGAAAATTGACGGAGTGATCTCTTTTAACACAAAAGAAGTTTAACTTTAGCCGTTCGGCGTATGTTTGTACATTCACCACTGCTTTCGATTCCAAAGTTGAATACGGTTCACAGACCAAATGTATAGTTGCTACAGTTTTGATGTTTACACCAAGTGTTTCTGAGCAGTTCACATGACTTGTATTGAACGTTTTTGATTATTAAATTATGGTCCATGTGTAACCTGAAGATATTTTTTTTTCAATTTTGAATATTCTGTGGTCACCAATATTAATTCATATAATTAATTTCAGAATGTAATGTAATTTTTTTATTGACTAGAAACGATAGCCGAAGTGCATATGAAAATAAGCACAATGATGATAAACGTCGCAAACACAAAGATGTAGACAGAAGAGATAGAAACGATGACAGAGCGCATGATTATAGAAATAAATCCAAAGAGAGAGATAATTACCATCATCAGCGTGACAGAGGTCGCGATTATAGACAAAATAACTATAGAAATAGATACGGAAATAATGAAAACGATGACTATCGAAGAAACAGAAGAGAAGATCAGTATAGGTAATCTTTATTTCATAACGCTGCATTGAGATAATGTGTGTCTTTCTAGTCGAAACAGACGGGGGCGTAGCAGGAGTCGCTCGTTTGATCACGCTAACGCGAAATGGGGGAAAGAAGATAAAGGTCGAGATAAAAGTGGTAAAGACAAAGATAAGGAAGTCAAGAAGGAAAAGGAGAAACCAAACTTTGGCCTATCTGGTAAATTAACAGAGGAGACAAATACCTACAGGGGCGTTGTTATAAAGTATAGTGAACCGCCTGAGGCCAGAAAACCAAAACGGCGATGGCGTCTGTATCCTTTCAAAGGAGATAAAGCGTTACAAACTTTGTACATTCACCGAGAAAGCGCTTACCTGATTGGGAGAGATCGCAAGGTTGTTGATTTACCAGTTGATCATCCATCGTGTTCCAAGCAGCATGCTGCACTACAATATCGACTCGTAACATTCACAAGGGAGGATGGTACAACAGGTATGTAAACATTTTGATTTTACCAAGTTTACTAGTGAAAAAAACAAGGTTGGGCTTATGTGAACAATGAGTCTAATTCAACTGTTCACTAAACTGCCCTTGGTAATAAATTAGATAGTGATTTCTGCTGGTCTCTTGACTTTAGTAATTATATATTGTGATATGATTGTAGGTAAACGAGTGAGACCATACCTAATAGATTTGGAATCTGCTAATGGAACTTTTATCAATAACAAAAAAATTGAAGCTAAGAAATACGTGGAATTATTGGAAAGAGATGTCATTAAATTTGGTTTTAGTTCGAGGGAGTATGTATTGCTACACGAAAATAGCAAAGATGAAGCTCAGGATGATGACGTGAAGATTGAGGAAGAGGTTCCAGTTAAAAAAGAATCAAATGAATAAGTACGTACCTCATTCGAGTTTATTTGTTTAATTTAAATTAAGATTAATTCTTTACCGAGATGATTTCACTCATTTAGTTACAATAAAACTTTTGCAATATTTTATCTTATTTAATTATTTCATTGTGAAGAAGTCACGAAATTTCTTTCAATGTTGACTAATTGCAGAGGATTATTATTGCCAAAGGTGGTCATTTATCAGGGCTCTGTACCAAGACCGTGAGGGTCTATTGTACCCGCTAGGTTTTGGTCTCATTCCCTTAGGATGTCAATTTCTTTCTTCATTTTCCCAAGAAACTTATGTCTTCAGCTCTTATATGGCTCACAGTATTGCAGAGTCTTGTTTTGGCGCCCTCTGCAAAGTGGGTCTACTTTAATTGTCGAGGTCTTTTCATTTAATAGTGACCCGTTACAAGACCCCTCAAAAGATCTACAGTCGAAATGGGATATAACGACATTGAAGGGACCATATAACTGCAGACGCTATTACAAATTGTGGTTATAACCTAAGTAGATATGTACCTACATAATTTGAAAACATAATATGAATGCACATTGTATGTATTTAATTTAAATAAACGTAATGAATTCTCTGTATGCACTGATACGCAAATAAAAGGTTAGAAACCTAAATAATAGTATATTAAGTTTCTCAAGCACACGCAACGAGTTTAAATATTGACAGTGCATTCAAGATCATGACTTCAGTTGAAGAAGATGGCTTGTTGCACAAGCAGACAAAGTTGGTACCTGCAAAATCAATGCAAAAGCCTATTATAATAAAGAAAGTGAATATGTTGGCATGGATGAATAGGAATCATCTTTCATACAAAGTCTTAATAGAGCAAGAGTCCTTGACTGCCAGAAGTTATTTTATAAAAGCTGAAACTTTCTCAGTGCATGTTTCCAACACAGGTAGGCGCGATGGGAGTACTGTGTACTTTGGATCATCATGGCTTTGGCAGGGGGCGGGACACTTCGCTGAATGCCCACAACGCCGACCCGATTTTTGGATGGTCCATATCGCCGACTAGGGACACTACGCCGACAGTGCCCACATCGCCGACAAGTGGACAAGGGACACAACGCCGACCATGCCCACTTCGCCGACGGACACTACGCCGACCGTGCCCACATCGCCGACAAGTGTGCAAGGGACACTAGGCCGAACGTGCCCACAACGCCGACTATTCGGAAAAAAATTACTAGGGACACTACGCCGACAGCGACCACATCGTCGACAATGGAGAAGTTTCCAGTTTTTTGTTATTAATTAATTATGACAATTTAAGTAAAATGAAACAAAAATGTCATAGAATCAATAAAATTCCTCCACAAATGGCAAAGTTACAAGGCTTTAAAGTTGCGATTGGAAAAATAATTTCGAGACGTCACTTCATCTAGTTTGCTAAGAGCATGCCTTGACCATGCGATCAAAAAAGAGTGGAGTCGCCTATGAATCGCCTTTACAAACTTTTGTTTGTATGGGAAATCGTATTTCGTGGAATTACCTAAAATGACGTCACCGACACTGCCGTTCCGCGCTGAATACCTAAACTTAAATAATATATTTCTCAGTCATTTATTGCCGGATTTTGAAATTTCTTTTACTGGTTTATTAGTTTTGATCTATACTTTGATGTCATTAGGCTTAATATAGTAATATCATGTGGTTGAACGGTAAAAGATTAATGAATATCGCGATTCTTAAATTTCACATTTAGTCAAACAAAGCGAACAATAACTAGGGCTGATTGTATAAAGGCTGGTTGAACTTCGCTTGTAGTTAACAACTGGATTAAGGTATAAGAATGGTTAAAATTTGACGTTTTGTCAAACTTCAACCAATTAGGTATCTTAACCCATTGATATAATCCAAACGAGGTTTAATCTGCTTTATACAACCGACCCTTATGCCCGTCAAAAATCAAGACGGGATTCATGAAACTAGATTAGCAAATACGATCTTAAATAAACAACCAGTTATAATCGATCATTTGCGCATGAATCTACCATTATATCAACTATTGGTGACGTTTTCTGTCAATCCCAGAATTAATCTTCGATCTCGGATCAATCTACGAGTTAGTACGGGCATTAGTGTCCGCTTTACTAACAATGACACTTACTAAAAATCTTATATTGCTTGGCCACCTTGGATTATAAGGTACGGTGCAATTCCATTCTGGTGCTAATCAATGATTAACTTTGACCATCGTTTATATAATAAAGATTTATTTTTATTGTTTAATGTGTACAGAATATGCTAAACAAGATTAGTTCATATTTTATGAATTTAATATTAACATAAGCACATATATTTTAACTAATGAATTACTTTTTACTCCGTATTCACATCTTCTCATAGTGGAATACATCCGTTTTTTCTCATAAAATATATTTTTATTTCAATTTGCTACCCCTCTTCAGCTAATTTCTTAAAATGTACTCATTATCTATTCAATATCCATAAGGGTTTTAGAAATTCTAATCCGTTTTTCTTATTTCTTGAGCAATAATGAAATAACCTTTTCTGTAAATGTACGCTCTGCCTAATTTGCGCCTGCTATTTCCTGTCGGTCTCTGTATTCCCATTATACTCTACCATAAATTTACCAAAATGTTGTCTTAAAATCTGCATAGTTGCAGGTTTTTCTTAGAAAAACCCGTAAATACGGAATTGCGGATTAATGTTTAAAGTAGGTGCCGCTCTTAGTAAAATATTGTTTACAGGTAGAGTGAGAATTTTCACCCTTTACTATGGGAACCTTTGCTGTCGGTCTCTGTATTCCCATTATGTATATTCCATCGTGACTTTATCAAAATGTTGTCCCAACATCTGCATAGGTAATTGAAGGTTTTTCTTAGAAAAATCTGTATTAGGGTCATAGGTAAATACAGAATTGCGGATTAATGTTCAAAGAAGGTGCCGCTCTTAGTAAAATATTGTTTACAGGTAGTGAGATTTTTGACCTTTTTCTGTAGATAGGAACTTATACTACAGTAATTACTAACTGCATTTTAAACCATGAAAGAATTTCTTTTAGTACAAACAAGGTAAATGTGTATTACTGTTTGTGGGGGTAGCAAATTATTCATAAGTTATGTACTAATTTACGACCTGCTTTAATTTTGCTATGACATGACGTCAGATAATGTGACGAAACGCCAGTGAAACAAAGTTACACACTTTAGTTTTATACGCACTGAAATAACTTGCATTGGCGAAGAATAAAAATAATGAATTCTACCACCGTGCCACCCTTTGAATTTGTGTTTATCTCGATAAGTGTAAAAATGCTTAAAATATTTACACCTAGGTAGCAAATTGAAATAAAAATATAGTTTATGAGAAAAAACGGATGTATTCCACTATGGGAAGATGTAAATATGGAGTAAAAAGTAATTCATTTGTTAAAATATGTGCTTATGAACATTAAATTCATAAAATATGAACTAATCTTGTTTAGCATATTTTGTACACATTAAACATTAAAAATAAGTCGTTACTCAATTACATAAACGATGATCAAAGTTAATCATTGATTAAAAGTACCAGAATGGGATACACCTTACCTTATAATCCAAGGTGGCCAAGCAATATAAGATTTTTAGTAAGTGTCATTGTTAGTAAAGCGGACATTAATGCCCGTACTAACTCGTAGGTTGATCCGAGATCGAAGATTAATTCTGGGATTGACAGAAAACGTCACCAATAGTTGATATAATGGTAGATTCATGCGCAAATGATCGATTATAACTGGTTGTTTATTTAAGATCGTATTTGCTAATCTAGTTTCATGAATCCCGTCTTGATTCTTGACGGGCATAAGGGTCGGTTGTATAAAGCAGATTAAACCTCGTTTAGATTATATCAATGAGTTCAGATACCTAATTGGTTGAAGTTTGACAAAACGTCAAATTTTAACCATTCTTATACCTTAATCCAGTTGTTAACTACAAGCGAAGTTCAACCAGCCTTTATACAATCAGCCCTAGTTATTGTTCGCTTTGTTTGACTAAAATGTGAAATTTAAGAATCGCGATATTTTACCGTTCAACCAACCTTTTTTTTTTCAAATTAAAAAAAACGCGATAAATTCTTCTATACTACCGGTGTAAAGATTTACGAATTTCAGTTTATCAAAACACAGCAACTATCAAATAGGGACAATTGATATTACTATATTAAGACTAATGACATCAAAATATAGATCAAAACTAATAAACCAGTAAAAGAAATTTCAAAATCCGGAAATATAAATTTATTTATTTATTTATTTATTTATTTATTTATTGCCCCTCTTGTTTTAGGCCCTCAACAGGCTTACGCCCAATTACAGATAGTATATTATATACCGCGGGACTGAAGTAGTACTTTTAATCCCGAAGGTAAAGTTTATGGGAGGGCCATAATTTACCTGAGGGATTAAGACCACTACTTCAGTCGCAAGGTATATACGATATTTTTCGTACTTCCGTAACTGAAACACTAAAATCTGTATGGAGTTAGAGAACGCGTTCTTTCAAAAAATCGCTGCTTAACAAGTTACCATAGGAACGTTGCGTTGGTATGACAATCCCTATGCTATGGTAACAAAAATAATTTGGAAACTGTCATTGCTAGTGTCATAATTTTGGTGGTAGGGTGTATTTGATATTGATAAAAAGCAGCCAAACTAGGTAAAGAATTAATGCCACCGAAATCCAAAATAGTATATTAAGTATGGAGAACGGTAAGGGATTTTTACCGTTTTTACCGTTCGAGGAGGAGCGAAGCGACGACTCCAATTATTGTCTGAGAACGGTAACCCTTAACGTTCGACGTGCTTATAACATTTTTTGCGCGATCGAAATTAAATTTATGCAACCAATATAAATATGCACTAAGAAATTAACGAGCAGAATAAATCGAAATGATCGAAGTGGTATGGTGTATATCACTAGGTAACCAGTTTATTTGTCAAAATTGAAGTTAATAATTTCATAAAAATGTGCATGTGTCTGATGTAGTTTACTAGCTTTGAACTTCCTTTATGACTTTATGAGCGTCTTGCTATAGGAAACAACAGCACAAATTGTACGTTTAATGTACCTAACAAT